TGCAGCACAAGGGTTAAGAAATCTAAGCTTTAGATTGATGTTTATGATGGGGATTGTCTCATATCTTTTGTCTACATCACGATTTCCATTATATCTGTCCTAGATAGTTATCTCAGCTCTTATTCAGATCTGTTTCCATTTAAAGAAAAATACTGAAACTGATTGTGATGTTTGTTCGCATTAATGCCTCTGGAAAGTCGATGAATATGCCGAGTCGTGTCCGTGTTGTGTTTTGCTTTATTGTTCACTTGAGAATCAACACAAACGTTAATGTTTTGGGGAAAGAAAAAAATAACTCTCAGGATTAAGAAAAATAAGTTGCATAATTTCAGTTATTTACAATTTCTAGCCCCAAATCTAGAATAAAAGCCCCAAAAATGTATTAAATTTTTGATTTTTTTGTTTTAAAAATCTATTAACGGGTTATCACCGTTAACTAAAACATGTGTAACACTTTAGGGTCCAATTCTCACTATTAACTAGTTGCTTATTATCATGCATATTACTAGGATATTGGCTGTTTATTAGTATTTATAAAGCACATATTAATGCATTTTTATGCATGATTATATTCTACATCCCTTAATCTAACAATACCTAAACTTAACTACCTTAATAACTATTAATAAGCTGTAATTAGGGGTTTATTGAGGCTAAAGTTGCAGGTAATAGTTAGTTGATGGTGAGAATTGGACCCTAAACATATTCGTTACTTGAAATTAAATAAATGTTAACTGAAATTAAATAATATATATTTGGGCTGTCAAATGATTAATCGCATCCAAAATAAAAGTTTGTGTTTATAATATATGTGAGTGCATGGTTTATAATTATTTTGTATGTGTATATATATATAAATACACACTCATGCATGTATATTTAAGGAAAAATATTATTGATGTATAAAATATTTATATATAATATAAATCTATGTACAGTATATACATGAAAATATTTCTTAAATATATACAAGCATGTGTGTGTATTTATATATTTTTTTAAATAATTATTCACATATATTACGTAAACACAAACTTTTATTTTGGATGTGATTAATCGTGATTAATTGTTTGACAGCCCTAATATATATAAAATAAACAGCTTTCAGCTTTAGTTGCCAAAGCAACTCTTCTCATTTTCATTTAGTTTAGCTTTATGTCCTAAAATAACTAAAACATAAATGAATCTAAACATAAATCTATTAAAAAAATTAATTAAAATGTATATAGATTTATAAAATATGATAAAAAAACGCACTACATAACTAAAACGTGTAAGTAAAATCACAACAAAAATAAAGAATAATTAAGTGAAATTGTTTTTTAAAATAACAATAGTGCATTCATTTATTCTAGTTGTTATGCTGATGCTAATGAGAACATGCTAACACACACATTGCTCGTCAAAGAGACAATTGTGTGATGCTAAATGTCCAACGGTGTTGTATTTTCTTAATCATCAGTGAAGTGCTGGACTTTAACCCAACAAGTGTTTCTCATGATAGTTCTGGCTCTAAATCTCACTGTGTTTCGAGCCGTTGCACAGCATGCAGATGAATAAACATGAACATGGATGCACACTAATGCACTATATAAGCACTCCTCACACACAAGTGTTTGGATAGCAGCTGATTCAGTGGCACAATATTGAAGATATAAGATCCTTCATGATGAGTCTCTCTCTCTCTGCAGGAGACACTCATGTGGTGAAGCTCTACTTGAAGTCCAGGGAAACGGGGCAGACATTTGCCAGTGTGGATTTCACCTTCTACAACTGCAGCATCCACAGATCGTGAGTCCACTCCTCCTCTCGCTCTTTATCTCGGCTCTTCTCGTTTTACCCACTCAGGGCGGGGGGGCGGGGTCATATTTCTGTTGCCGTGGCAACCGGTGGCGTGTTGATTGACAGTTATTCTCTTGAAAACAGACTGTGGTTACAATCCTACAGATAGTGGGACCCCCAGCTGAACATCTCAATGAATACACTGCACTGACTGTGTGTGTGTGTGTGTGTGTGTGTGCGCTTCTAAGATCCTCCAGATGGGTTCAGACTCTTTTGGGAGGTCTGTGTAGTGTCTTATTGCAGGACAGATGAGCCAAAGCTGTCTCCAGAGATATAACACACACACACACACACACACACACACCTCTCTCAGAGTAACAGCATCTCAGATACACAATACCTTCCATGACACACACACACACACACACCATCAGCTTTAAAACTAGGTCACACGGCGCTTCCCTGATAAGACCGGCCTGTGCAATTGAAAAGTACACACTACATATGAGTATTATCATAATTGGATAATCACATGCTGCTTTATTCTATACGTCCACATTTCCAAAACTCCAAAAGCACAACAGCTATTAGAGGGGTTTATTTTACACAATAAAGTGTTTTTATGGACGTTGTAGAGGCTTTGTGTAGATGATAAAAAAATAAAGCAATAGGAAGTGTGTACATTTCATAAAACCTGTCCAGCTCATATTTCACCTCCGAATCAGAAGAAAGAAAGAGGGAGTTTATTTTGCCAAAAGAAAATACACCCTATTTATTCCATACCAGTTACATTTTGCCCCCGCAATTATTATAATTTAGCAGTAGTGTAGTAATAAAAACAAAAATACTGCCTTTTCTATAGAAAATTACATTTATAATTATATATATATATATATATATATATTATATAATATTATTAATATATATATATATATATATATATATATATATATATAAATATATATGAAGAGTTCAGATGCAAAAGCCTCTAAATGCCATTTGAAATTTTCTTCTTTAATGATGATTTTTATCAAACTTGTATATTTAAGTTCAGTGATTTTGTTATTTAAGTGAAATTACTGAACTTAAATATACAAGTTTGATAAAAATCATCATTAAAGAAGAAAAATTTCAAATGGCATTTAGAGGCTTTTGCATCTGAACTCTTCATATATATATATATATATATATATTTTATATGGTATATTATTATTGTTATCATAGAAAATATGATTTATATGTTATGTTAAGCATAAATCATAGCATTGCTATGATAATCATTTGAGAATCATTATTGGTTTTATATACACTCTAAAAATGCTGGGTTGCTTTAACCCAACTTTAGGACAAATATGGACAAACCCAAACATTTGGTTAAAAATATAATCAAAAAATATAACCCAAGGGCTGGGTTTGTCCATATTTGACCCAAAGTTGGGTTAAAACAACCCAGCATGTTTTATACATTCATTCATAATTCTTACATACATAATTAGACAAGAATTATACAAAACTCAAAAAATAAAATTTTTGATGGGCTTAATTGTCATGAAAATAATCAAATTGCAATGCAAAACATGTAAATGGCTTTAAAAATAATTTTCTTTATGCAAAATATGAGCCGTTTCTCCGTGAGATGTGAGATGGAGATGAGGCGTCAGCATCTTAATGTGAGAGGAGGAAATGAGTGTTCGGTTTCCGCCTGTGTGTGTGTGTGTGTGTGTGTGTGTGTGCGGGGGGGTTTATGTTGATCAGCGACCCGTCGGTGGGGGAAGAGAGCTCAGCGTGACGGGCTTAAACCCGGAGACACCCTGAACCCCCACTCCAGACGGCACGCGGATTAAACCCTCCCTCGGGATTGGTGCAGGGGTCAGGAAGAAAAATAAGGGCACATTTATTATCTTCACACCACTTATTTTAAGAAGTCTCTGCTTTAAGTGAACCAGTTTAGATTTAACAGTCGCTGATAATGGATTGGTGGAAACATTGATGGAAAAGAATTACAGATTGGAAGCAAACGGAACGAGTTTAATGAAACTGATGGATGGACGTACGTATGTTGAACTGTTTTGAGGCTCGGGGTCATGTCTAATATTCACAACCTTTTCGTTCTGCAGCTTTTATAAAATTATCCACTGGAAATGCTTTGGGAAAGGCGTAATTTTAGTGTTCTTGTGGTTGAACAATCAACATGACTGCGATCATTATAACCCCATGGGGTACACTTAATATTTGAAGACGCCAAATTATGCCCTATTTTGTGCTAGAACTGCTTTTTTTTAGGTTTTCCAGCTTGAATGTTGATTATTCTCCTCATATTCTCCATTGTTGCGGCTCCTCTCTTCTCAGTCTGTCAGTAACGCTCTGTTTAGTTCCTAAGCCCCTCCTCCTGAAAAGCACACTATGCCCTGATTGGTCGGCTGGAGCAGTGTGTTGTGATTGGTCGAGCGCTTTGAGTGTGTTTGGGAAATGTCCCGCTCTTATTTCAACTCACTACTAACTAACTCAACCAGGCCCCGCCCCTTTATTCTGCGCATGAATTATTATAATGAGGAATATTGTGACGTGTTCAAACTCAAGACTACAATGGAGGCGTTTCAGGAGTTCAACAAAATAAAGAAAGATGAACAAAAGCATAATAGGTCCTCATTACACTGTAATCTAACACACACTCAGTCAGTGTGTTGAACATGCACATCTGTCCCTTAAGGAATATTTTATTCGTCTGTCCTTATTGAAGAATACTACACTGACATTTAAAGATATTCAGTCTTTATGTGTGTGTGTGTGTGTGTTCTTGCATATCTCAGACATGTTGTGTTTTCACCTGCATCCATTTGTTCTCCGTCACGGCCACCCTCTCGATTTATTCCTGCTGATTAGCAGATTATACGTCTCTGGAGATGCAGCATTAACACACTGACAAATGGCGTCTCGATGGGGGATCATTACCTACACAAACACACACACACACTCAACCACATGTGCTTGTGTTTCCTCACGGGACTCAGAGATGCAACAATTACGCACCACAATCCTTTAGCGCTTTTGCTTAAAATGCATGATTTGCATTCTTAAAGGAGTTCATTTTTTTGTTAACCGATAGGATCTCTCTCTCTCTCTCTCTATATATATATATATATATATAGGGATGGGCAACGATTAATCGCATCCAAAATAAAAGTTTGTGTTTACATAATATATGTGTGTGTAGTGTCTATAATTAATTTGTATATATAAATACCCACACATGTATGTGTATATATTAGAAAAATGTGCTATTAATATATCAAATATTTATATTTTTTATAATATTAATTATGTATAAATATATATAAAGTAAATACATGCAAATATTTCTTAAATATATACATGCATGTGTGTGTATTTATATATAAAAATTAATTATACACACTACACACACATATATTATGTAAACATAAACTTTTATTTTGGATGCGATTAATCGTTGCCCGTCCCTAATATATATATTGGATGCGATTAATCACATCCAAAATAAAAGTCTGTACTGTGTATAATTATTTTGTGTAACTGTGTGTGTCTGTGTACCTGTGTGTGTATTGTGTATAATTATTTTGTGTGTGTGTATATATATATATATATATATATATATATATAAATACACACACGTGCATGTATATTTAAGGAAAAAATATTATTTATATATAAAATATTTATATATAATATAAATTATATATAAATCTATATACGTGAAAATATTTCTTGAATATAAACAAGCATGTGTGTGTATTTATATATATAAAATAATTATACACAGTGCACCCACATATATTATGTTAACACAAACTTTTATTTTATATAAAAGTTATATATAAAATATATTTGTGTATATATATATATATATATATATATATATATATATATATAATATTTTTTCTGATTTATCTGATAACACCATCAGGTTAAAGCCATTGTGAATGCTGCTCTAGAGAGATACCAGATTTCATTAAGCAAATCATTTCTCAACTCTGATTGGACAGATGCTCTCAACGCTGCAGCTGATTGGTCAATTCGACCCAGTGCTTAAAAACCATTCTGAGGTCAGAGCTCTTTGTCCTAAAGCATCAATTAATGTCACTGAGTGAACAAATTGCTGGACTTAATACTGAATAATTGAAACAAATGACTTGCAGAATTGCAGTCCGAATCCTCAGATGGTTTGAGTGTCTGAGAGTCTCAGCTGAGAGACGCTTCAATCTGATTCAAAATGAGCCGTTTCCACTAACGTGTGTGTGTGTGTAAGTTGCCATCTACATGTAGTGATTCACATAGTTCGTATGAAAACAGTGCACTATTTTTTTTGTCTTTCTCTCTTTTCTAATCTACTCTTGTCAAGTCTTAATGGGAAATCCTCTTCTCTTTGATCTCTCTCTCTCTCTCTCTCTCTCTCTCTTTGTCATCACTTTCTTTCTTAAACCTGAGACACCTAATAAAGTGGATCTTTGTGAGGGAGATTATTTCACACAGTTTCATGGGCAGAATGAGAGCATGCGAGGTCAGAGTGCAAGGACACACACGTAGCGCTGTGGTTCTCGCCGTATAGTGTGTGTTTTGGGGTTAATTGTGTGTGTGTGTGTGTTCTCTTCCAGGTGCTTGTCCTGTGTGAACGGCTCGTTCCCGTGTCACTGGTGTAAATACAGACATATGTGCACGCAGAACGCCAACGACTGCTCCTTCCAAGAGGGACGGGTGAACATGTCAGAGGTGAGAGGTCATCACTTCCTAAAATTACTGATCTTTACTAGGGTCGGGTATCGTGTGCATTTTATCAATCCCGATTCTTATCAATTCCTATTTTCGATTCCAACGAGGTAAAAACAGCACAAAAAAACCTTGCATATCATTCACATTTTGTCTTATTGCAAATTAATTGTAGCTGAATATCTTGAACAAAAAAAAATTTTCACAAGGAACGTTTGCTTGAGGTTTAAAAATACCATAATAAACAGCTAGCCTAACTAATATCAATTTTAAACATTATTAAAAACAAGTCAACACTCCGCAATCGCAACATATAGACACAAAGATACGATTGAAAAAAGCAGTGCTTTAAGATTATCAGGTGTTCAGGTACAGAAACTGTAATCAAATCGAAAATATACATTACAAATATAGAAAGATATTCAGTCAAGAATGAGTGAATTTTCTCTATCTTTTGTTGTTGTTTGATTAGTGTTATTATAAAAACAGCAGCAGGAATATTAGGCTTCTGTCACTTTAAGAGTTGCCCAATATACAGGTTAAACTCGAAAAATGAGAATATGGTGCTAAAGTTCATTTATTTCAGTAATTCAACTTAAAATGTGAAACTGATATATTATATAGACTCATTACATGCCTTTATTTGTTGTAATTTTGATTATTATGGCTTACAGATATGAAAGCTTTTTGAATTTGGGGTTTTCATAAGCGTTCATAATCATCAAAATTATAACAAATAAAGGCTTGAAATATCTCACTTTGCATGTAATGAGTCTTTATAATATATTAGTTTCAACTTTTAAAGGAGTAGTTCACTTTTGAAAAACCTTTTGCTGATAATTTACTCACCCTCATGTCATCCAAGATGTCCATGTCTTTCTTTCTTTAGTCGAAAAGAAATTAAGGTTTTTGATGAAAAACATTCCAGGATTTTCTCCATATAATGGACTTCAATGGGAACCAAACGGTTCAAGGTCCAAATGAGAGTTTCAGTGCAAACTGTTCAAAGGACTTTAAACGATTCCAGACGAAACAAAGTTAAAGTTTTATATGCTCAAATGCTCACCTTGCTCTGTTCTGTGATGCGCGTTCATTCGTGAATCGTGACTCTCCTGTTCGAACTCGTTTATCAAAATGAACGGATCTTTTTCCGTGAAAAAAGAGTTGACTCGGTAAAAGATTCGTTCATTTTGATGAACGAGTTCGAACAGGAGAGTCACGAACGCGCATCACAGAACAGAGCAAGGCGATCATTTGAGCTTATAAAACTTAAACTTTGTTATTTATTTATTAAATGAGCGATCGTTTCGCTTGATAAGATCCTTATTCATCGTCTGGAATCGTTTAAAGCCCTTTGAACAGTTTGCACTGAAACTCTCCATTTGGACCCCATTGAAGTCCATTATATGGAGAAAAATCCTGGAATGTTTTCATCAAAAACCTTAATTTCTTTTCGACTGAAGAAAGAAAGACGTGGACATCTTGGATGACATGGGGGTGAGTACATTATCAGCAATTTTTTTTTTTAAGTTAGTTGAAAAAGTTAAGTTGAATTACTGAAATAAATGAACTTTTGCACGATGTTCTAATTTTTTGAGTTTCACCTGTAGTAAGTAAGTTACACATGAAACTATAACAGCGCGAGTCGTCTCGTGCTTGAATGGTTTAAAGTCATATAATGAAATTCTCACAAAGGAATTGATAAGAGCAATCGCAATTTAAATTTTATTTTTAATCAATTTTATTTTTATTTTATTCTTAATCGATTCCCAACCCCAACTCATCGGTACTAATTTTTTAAAGTCTCTTCCGCTCACGATGCATCCAATCAAATCTGATGCATAAAATGAAGCCCCTCATTAAATATCCAGTTTCAGTTGTAAATGCATCACACTACAAGTGTTGCCCAGTGCAGGTATAATGGGTTGCAAACTGCATTTCACATCAAATATGTCCTGATTGACTGAGATGTCATTGATTCGCTCTCGCTTTCACGGAGTTGACACTGGAAACCTGATGAATCCCGACTGGTTAGGAGGACACTATTCGGCGTGTCCATCCGCAGATTTTCACTCACGAGAAACTCGATCTGTTACTGATAAGACGAGAGAGTCCGGTCATCAAGTCGACGGAGCCGCTCACTCATTGGCTGAGGCGAGTCCGTTGGGAATCTCCCATGATTCTGTGTTTTAAAAGCCTGCCTGCACTGGTTTCCTCTAATAGACTCCAGATGTGTGTGTGAGACGAGGGGAGTGAGAAAGACGTGGGAGATTACATTATAGATGTGACGCCACGTCCTTCACAAGCGCTGTACGGAGAGCGAGAGCAGGGATGAGGGTGGAGAATAAAGCGAGGGCTCGGGAAGGAAAGGCGTTGGCGTGTGTAACCGGCTCTGTCTCTGCCAGCTGGACTGTTATTGTAGTTTTTCTCGTAGCAGCTGAAAGCACACGAGCATCACACACGTCTCCCAGAACTTAAAGAGACCCTTTTACTAAGTCTTGATGTTGTTTTAAACAAGGTTTTCCTGCTTGAATGTTGTTGATTATTATTGTTGCGGCTCCTCTCTTCCCAGTCTGTCAGTAACGCTCCGTTTAGTTCCAAGCCCCTCCTACTGAAAAGCACACTGTGCTCTGATTGGTCGGAACGAACACATCACAATATTCCTCATTTAAAGGTCCCATATTGTACAACTTTCTGAAGTTTTATTTTAGGTTTTGATGCCCTTAAAGGGATAGTTCACTGTCAGTAAGGACTGTTCAACCCGTAAGACTTTCGTTCATCTTCGGAACACAAATGAAGGTATTTATGAATAAATTTGAGAGCTAATCACTCCTCCATAGGCTTCTTAAAGGAGTTTTCAAAAAACTTTTGCTGATAATTTACTCACCCCCATGCCATGTCATTAACGAATCTTTTTCCGAGTCAATTCGTTCGCTTCATTCGTTGAATGAACCAAATGACTCAGAAAAAGATTCAAACAGTTCAAACAGGAGAGTCACGAACAGAGCAAGGCGAGCATTTGAGCTTATAAAACTTAAACTTTATTTATTTATTAAATGAGCGATCGTTTCGCTTGATAAGACCCTTATTCATCGTCTGGAATCGTTTAAAGCCCTTTGAACAGTTTGCACTGAAACTGTCTTTTGGACCCCATTGAAGTCCATTATATGGAGAAAATCCTGGAATATTTTCATCAAAAACCTTAATTTCTTTTCGACTGAAGAAAGAAAGACGTGGACATCTTGGATGAGTAAATTATCAGCAAAAGTTTTTTTTAAAAGTGAACTAATCCTTTAAGAGATTGAAACTGACCGGCACAAAAGTTATTAAAGACATCGTTAAAATAGTCCGAGTGACGACAGCGGCTCAATCTTAAGTTTTTCAAGCGACGAGAATACTTTTGTGCGCAAAAACCACAAAAATAACGACATTTCCTTCTCTGTGAGCCTCACGATTTCAAGTAGTGAAACTGCGCAAAGTTTCTAGGTTGTACGTCACACTCATCACACACATGACCAGCGTCGGCCAATAGTGAGCCTACGTGTGACGTACAACACAGAACCGCTGCGCTCGGACTATTTTAACTGTAACTTTTGTCTGGCCAGTTTCGATCCTTTAAGAAGCCTATGGAGGAGTGATTAGCTCTCGGATTTAATCACAAATATCTTAATTTGTGTTCTGTAGATGAACGAAAGTCTTGCGGGTTGAACAGTCATTACTGACAGAAGTTTCATTTTGGGGTGAACTATCCCTTTAAGGACATCAAAACCTAAAATAAAACTTCAGAAAGTTGTACAATATGTGCCCTTTAAATGAGGAATATTGTAATGTGTTCGTTTTGACCAATCAGAGCACAGTGTGCTTTTCAGGAGGAGGGGCTTCATAGAGACAGGAACTTAAAGGGATAGTGAACTATATATATTTGCGGTATAAGTACCAAAAACATCTCAATGTATTTTTACAGCTCCTTTCTCAGGAGCTCTGCCAAGAACAGGTCGATTCTGGTCTGCCTACTTAATATTCATGAGCACCACAATATTCCTCATTATAATAATTCATGCGCAGAATAAAGGGGCGGGGCCTGGTTGAGTTAGTCAGTAGTGCGTTAAACTGGTGGTTATGGTGCGAGCGGGACATTTCCCAAACACACTCGAAGCGCTCGACCAATCACAACACACTGTCAGCGTCACATGATCCTTCCATTATAATAGGCTAATAACATGATTTTATTTACCTTCCAAAGCCACGTGTGACTCTTTACTGTGTTGTAATTTGATGCTCATAGTTTTGAGCAGAGCGATCGTTCATCGTGTGACTAAAAGTAAAAACGAGAATATATCAGCGGAGGCTTGGCATTTTCAACACATGATTTGCTCTTAGGGTGTCGTTTCCCTCACTTTTCCTGTCACGCCGCGCCGATATTCCTCTTTCCCATCTGAGCGAACAACTAGACGACAAGTGACAGCTGGTTAAACTCGCGATTAAAGAAGTCATACACGCAGTCGTCATGACTACAGCACTAATTACAATCCAGAGAGACCTTAAAAACAGGTCACATGGCCTTTGATGTCACCCCTGACCCCATTACCCACAATTCTCTGTCTTTTTAGTCTTTGTTCGCCCATTTTTTCCCTCTGCTCTGCTCCTTTCTTCTCGGTTCATATCCGCCACCCTGTTTTATCTCTCTCTCTCTCTCGGTCTATGTAATATTCATCGCTGGGCTGTATTGGCCAGCTGAAGTACAGATCTAATCCACTTTGAATAATTAAACCAGAGAGAGAGAGAGAGAGAAGGAGGTGCAGAGAAATGACTTTATCAGACTGATTACTTCCTCTCTTGTCTTCCCTCTCACTTTCTTTGTTCTTGGCGGCCGACACACACACGCTTTCCCCTCCCTCCATGGCTTTCATATTCATACGCAGCTCTTCTTATTGTTAGCGTGTCGTCTCCTTCAGCCGGTGAGCTGCTGTCTACCTCGCCTGTATTTTTAGGCCGTGTTGGCGTTTGCTCCAGGAGATACGCAGCGGCTCCTGCTGTCTCGTAAGATAACTCGCGTGTGTATCCTTCACGGAAAAGACTGTTCCAGAATGCATTGTGGTGAATCATGAAGTGCGAATGATCATATTCATGAGGCGTGCTCTCGAGGAACGCCAGTGTCACAATATCCTGTCGGGATTTGTCTTGGTATCAGTGTTATTTTTATTTTTGTGGGATTTACAGTATATAAAGTTATTCATATTTTTGAGAAATAACAGCATATGCATGCACATTTTATTTGTGAATATTCTTTGTTAAGTTATTCATGTTTTAAATAAGCTTGTATATTTATATTTTAGCTAGCTTTAAATTTTTTGGTGCATTTGTCATTTTTATTGGTATTAGTTTTTTGAATAGTTCTGTTTAGTTTAATTTCATTGTCAGTTTTATTATTTATTAATATTCTACATTTTTATATTTCTTTTTTTGTGCATTGTAGCTTTAGTTTATGAAACTAAGTTAAATATTTCTATTTAGCTTTAATTAATTTATTTCAGTTTTAGCTTTGTTTAGTAATATTTTAAATTAGTAGTTTGTATTTTTATAATTTTAATATTCATTTTAGTTTGTTTTAGTCATTATGTTTTCATTAGTTTTAGTTCTTTAAATATTTCTATTTATATTTAATTAATTTTTATTTTAGTTTTAGAACTTGTTTTATTTCCGTTGGTTGCCATGGTGACAGTATTTCTAAATAAATAAAAAACAATGATCTTTAAGTATAAGTTTTCCATCTAATATTTATTTTTTATTTTTTCCAGGTTTATTTAAGATACTGATGATTTTAATAGGTTTAGTTTTAGTTAACATTAACAAAACTGACAAGTTGTAATTGTGCATTTCGATGGAACAGTTAATTTATTAAAGTATTTTATACTGTCGTTGAATAGTAGTTTTAGTTTATAAAACTAAGTTAAATATTTCTATTTAGCTTTAATTTATTTCAGTTTTAGCTTTGTTTATTAAAATTTTAAATTAGTAATTTGTATTTTTATAATTTTAATATTCATTTTAGTTTGTTTTAGTCATTATGTTTTAGTCCTTTAAATATTTATATTTCTATTTAATTAATTTTTATCTTAGTTTTAGAACTTGTTTTATTTCCGTTTCTTGCCATGGTGGCAGTATTTCTAAATTAAATTAAAAAAAAATGTTCTTTAAGTACAAGTTTTCCATCTAATATTTTTATTGTATTTTTTTTTTTTCAGGTTTATTTCAGTTACTGATTTTAATAGCTTTAGATTTAGTTAACATTAACAAAACTGAGAAGTATTGATCAAATAAATAAGTTGTAATTGTGCATTTCGATATATATACTGTTGTTGAAGAATAGCTATGAATTAGTCAAAATACGGTTACACTTTATTTTAAGGTGTCATTGTTACAGTGTAATTATATATTTAAGGACTGAGTAATATTAAGCATTTAGGGTTAAGATTTGGTAGAGGTTTAGTTGGATGTAATTATGCATAATTTACTGTTATTACTATGATAAGTACACTGTAAAATAAAGTCTTTCCGAAAATACTAGTTTTTCTGTGTTTTTCTAGTTTTTCTTTACCCATTTTCTGTGCCAGTGCAATGATCATAAAATCCTCCGAGCCTCAGTTTCGCACTGAACGCTTTCTCTCTGCTGTTGAAAAAGCACTAAAAAGCTTATTGTCTTTGTCAATTATTGAAAAAGAGAGACTGCTAATTGCATCTCGCGTTTTCACTGACCAAACTCACATTTCCAAACTTGTAAGCATGAGCGTCCCGAGGGATCCCGAAGGCGATTTCTTCCGAGATTAGCACACAGCGCCTAGAGAAACCTTGGCTTTATTCGTTTAATACGAAAAAGTAATTTAATTTTTCCCAGTGTATGCATGCATGCGCTTTAGATGATCAAGTTATTAGTGGAGCAACATGCTAACGACAGAGTCTCGTGTTCGTCATACGTGTGTGTGATGGGTAATCATACGGAAGAGCTCTGACATCTAAACGACGTTTGCTTTCCATTCAATTTAACACAGAAATATTGAAATGAGGCCATTTAATTTAAATAAATTGATTTTAAACATTTAAATTAGTTCAGCACACTGACTGGAGAATGATCAGTGGGTTTCTGATGGCCTTCTTGAAGTCGTATTACGGCTCATTTTCCTCTTATTGCGGGAGGCTGTTGTGAAAGTGGATTTTATGGTGCTTGAGCTTCGGGCCGCTGGAAAGATGTGAGTGTGAGTGTGTCCCTGCTTACTGGAACAAATATGAATGTTTTACGGTGGGAGATATGATAATTAAGGAGCAGATATGGCATTGTTAAAGGAAAACCAATTATCTTTGAACAGCTTTTGCTGCCGTATTAATAATGTATTGTGTTTGTGTGTGCACTACTGTTTGGAAAGGTTTTAATGTTTCTTATGCATTTATTTAATCAGAAATACAGTAAAAACAGTACTATTGTGAAATATTATTAAAAAATGAAAATGTCTATTTGAATATATTGCAATGTAATGTATTCCTGTGATCATTACTCCAGTCTTCAGTGTCACATGATCCTTCAGAATCACTCTAAGATGAGGATTTGACTCTAATATTTCAGATTAGAGTCAAACATGTACCGGCCATATATATATATATATATATATATATATATATATATATATATATATATTATGATTTTCAAAAAAAGACATACATTCACAATTCTCTATTTCAATTTGAAGACCACAGTTAAAACTACTAATATATATTCAGTTTGATTCACATTAAAAACAGCAGGAATATTAGGGTCCTGTCACTTTAAGAGCAAATGCACAGATCTAATTTACTGATACACATGAGTTAACTGTTTATGTTCGGTTAAATGACTGTTCATTAATCCCCTTTCACACAGTTTTTCCGGAAAATACTCGGATAAAGTGACCCGGGATTTGACCCGGGTTCGTTTGGTTTTGGTTAATTCACACTGCCAGTGATTTTCCACACTGACGTCGATGGGACACGTAATGTCTTAAGTTTGCTTATGAGCTGCGATTTTACTCTTGTGCATTTTTTTCCTCTGATTCGATCAAAACTAGCGCATTACGTAGCGCTCCACTAGGTGGCGACGATCGGCGCCAATCTCTAGGTGTGGTGGAAGGTGTGTGATGATGTGGGGATATTTTAATTCCAAAGGCCAAGGGAACTTTATCAGGATGCATATTATCCTGGATCCATGAAATAACTGGCTTTTAAAAATAAAAATCTGCCTGACTCTATGGGAATTTAACATAGGGGTGTCCTGACTTATGCACCCTGTATTTTAAGGAAAAACATTTATTTATTTATGATTCATTATTCATTCACAAAGAAAATTGGTGTCCTTAAAGGTTGGAGTTTTCCTCATTTTTCTAATTAAGGCATTAAGATCAATATCCAAAAGATGATTTTTTTTATTCCTCTTTTTAGGCAACTTTAGCATGGGTACCAACACTTATTCATATCACTGTACATGTGTGTGTATTTATACAAAATAATTATACACAGGTTAAAAAAAATATATTATTCAAACACAAACTTTTATTTTAGATATGATTAATCTCAATTAAACATTTGAACGTAACACCTGAAAGTCATTGGATATGCTCAAGGTTTGCGTTCTGCGGAAGCCCTTCAAAAATATTTATGGTTTCTACAATTTCCGTTGAACAGCAAAACATCCTTCCTGTGCTTTAAACGTCTCGTTCCTCATTTCCATCTGTAAGGTTGCTGAAGTGAAATTACAGGCGAGTGTGTGTCTGTGGTCATTTACGCTAAAAAAAAAAAAGAAAGTGCTCCTGAACTGCATTATGAGATCTCATCCTCCTCTTCCTCTGCTCTCTCTCTCTCCGTCTCCAGGTATTCACGTCTGTAACACAGTTCTCATGGTCCACAACTAGAGCTTTTTCTGTCCTCGTTTTTTGTGCAGCATTACTGAGTGAATCATCATATTCTGTTTATAAAATACTGTTCAGTAGATTTAAACTTTGACTTTTATTCAGTGAGGACACATTAAATTGATCAGTAAAGTGACATTTAGAAAGTTAGAATTAACGAATACATGTAAGGATCATATTAAACTGTTTTCAACATTAATAATAATCATAAATGTCTGTGGAGCATCAAATCATCATAGTTTTTCAAATTCTAAAAATATTTCACAATATTAACATTTTTACTTTATTTTTCAGCCTTGATGAGCTGAAGAAACTCAAAATTATATGTTGAATAAAAGTTGAATTAAGTAGAATGTTAGAATTAACATATGGTTTCCACTAAAATATGACACTGTTTTGAACATTGATAATAATCATAAATGTTTCTTGTGCTCAAATCATCATATTAGAGTGATTTCTGACGGATCATGTGACACTGAAGACTGGAGTAATGATGCTGTAAATTCAGGAATAAATTACAGTTTAACATATATTAACATAGAAAACAGTCATTTTAAATTGTAATAATATTTCACAATTTTGCTGTTTTTACTGTATTTTATTTCATATAAACGCAGCCTTGATGAGCAGAAGAGACTCAATGATATATTTTGAACAGAATTAGTGTGGGACTCGGCTGATTTGACTCATGTTTTATTCCTCAAGTGTCCACACACACACACACACACAGAGAGAGAGAGCAGTGAGGTATTCTGGGACGTTCTCCAGATACGCGTCCAGCTTGTTTCTCCTCCAGGTCTTTGCGTGACGTTCCTCCATATGTTTCCCATCAGGCTTGTTTAACCAAATGTCAAACATGTCCTCTGGTCCGTCTGACGGATGCTTCGATGTCCTTCCTGTGTTTTGTTGTTTTAGTAAGAATGATTTCCCTGTTTGAGTCAACTGATAATGACATTTTTCCGCCTCTCTTTTGCAGGATTGTCCTCAGATCCTTCCGTCCACCCCGATCTACGTCCCCGTGGGCGTCCCGAAGCCGATCACGCTGTCGGCCCGAAACCTTCCTCAGCCGCAGTCGGGTCAGAGGAACTACGAGTGTGTGTTTCACATCCAGGGCGAAACACACAGTGTGACGGCGCTGCGCTTCAACAGCTCCAGCATCCAGTGCCAGAAAACCACTGTGAGTCCAGTCAGCTTTATTTACACAGCGCTTTCTACAGGACAGACTGTTTCAAAGCAGGATAATAATGCAACAAAGTTTGTTTCCAGAAGAAAATAGCATCACTATCCAGCTTAAGAGAGTTTTTTGTTGTAAAAAAGTTATTCGTTTACTTAATTAATAACTGTGTGTGTTAATTTAATCTCACATCACATTGATAAACGCTTTAAAGGATAGTTACTTATTGTGACAAACATACAAGGTTTGGTGTACACAACCATTCAAGAGTTGATGGACGTTTAGATGGACGGTTAGTTTGAATCCGATGGTCTGAATCAAAGAGCTGAGCTCCTGTCACATGATCATATCAGACACATGATCATATCAGACATACGATCATATCAGACACGCGATCATATCAGACACACATATCAGACACATGATCATATCAGACACGCGATCATATCAGACACACATATCAGACACATGATCATATCAGACATGCAATCATATCAGACACAAATCATTTCAGACACATGAGATCATATCAGACATACAATCATATCAGACACACAAATCATTTCAGACACACAATCATATCAGACACACATATCAGACGCATGATCATATCAGACACGATCATATCAGACACACGATCATATCAGACACACGATCATATCAGACACACGATCATATCAGACACACGATCATATCAGACACACGATCATATCAGACACATATCAGACACATGATCATATCAGACATACAATCATATCAGACACACATATCAGACGCATGATCATATCAGACACGATCGTATCAGACACACGATCATATCAGACACATATCAGACACATGATCATATCAGACATACAATCATATCAGACACACATATCAGACGCATGATCATATCAGACACGATCATATCAGACACACGATCATATCAGACACACGATCATATCAGACACATATCAGACATGAGATCATATCAGACACGATCATATCAGACACACGATCATATCAGACACATGATCATATCAGACACACGATCATATCAGACATGAGATCATATCAGACACACATATCAGACACATATCAGACATGAGATCATATCCGACACGCGATCATATCACACACGCGATCATATCAGACACATGATCATATCAGACACGATCATATCAGACACATGATCATATCAGACACATGATCATATCCGACACGCGATCATATCACACACGCGATCATATCAGACACATGATCATATCCGACACGCGATCATATCACACATGCGATCATATCAGACACGTGATCATATCAGACGCATGATCATATCAGACACGATCATATCAGACACACGATCATATCAGACACATGATCATATCAGACACACGATCATATCAGACATGAGATCATATCAGACACAATCATATCAGACACATATCAGACATGAGATCATATCCGTCACGCTATCATATCAGACACGCGATCATATCAGACACACAATCATATCAGACACATATCAGACATGAGATCATATCAGACACATGATCATATCAGACACATGATCATATCCGACACGCGATCATATCAGACACGCAATCATATCAGACACATGATCATATCCGACACGCGATCATATCAGACACACAATCATATCAGACACATGATCATATCAGTCATGCGGTCATATCAGACACAAGATCATATCAGTTATCAGACAGATGATCATATCAGACACCCGATCATATCAGTCATGCGATCATATCAGACACACAATCATACCAGACACACGATCATTTCAGACAAATTATCATATCAGACAAATTATCATATCAGACAAATGATCATATCAGACACACAATCATATCAGACACACGCATGTACATACAGACACACCAGCGCATGCCACACTCCTGAGAACACCAGCTTAACAGATCAGTACAATAATGAGAATGCTAATCTACAGTGTGTGAGAATGTGTTTGTGTGAGACAGAGAGGAAGAGAGAGCATGTGTGTGTGAGTGAGAGAGAGAAAGAGACCGAGAGTGTGTGTGTGTTCTGATTATTTATCCAGAGTAGAGATAAATGTGAGTGTGTGTTATTCTTACACTGATGTAATAGAGAGAGCGGCAGATGAGAACAGTATTTAATGCAAACACTCACAGTGTCTCGTTGGGCGGCACAGATGGAGGAGGACTCGTCCTGTTGGCGGAGTGTGAGCGTTATGAACAGGCCTGTCTCGATGGGTGTGTGTTGTTGGACGCGGGCTCTGGTTGTCTGGGTTTGGCTGTGTGTTTCTCTCTGGACGATACGGATGTATTGTGTTATGATGGTTTCCTTCTGAAGGCAATTCTTGCGCCCTAGTGGTCAGAACCGACCCAAAAACTGCATCACACACACACACACACACGGTTGCATGGGAAAACCACAGCAGGAAGGGAGAGAGGCTCATGGGAAGTGTGTTTTGAAGGGCTGTCAAGCTAGATAATTACACATTTACACCTGAGCTGAGCACATACACTCTTCTGCTCACTAAAAATACTGTAAAAACAGTGAAATATTATTGCAATGTAATATAACCGTTTTCTATGTGAATATACAGTAAAGTGTAATTTATTCCTCTGATGAAAACTGTATTTTTAGCATCATTACTCCAGTCTTCTGGGTCACATGATCCGTCAGAAATCATGTCTTTACTGTCACTTTTGATCACTTATGTGAATAATTTGTGTGTGTGTGAATACATTTTTTTATGAAGACTGCAAGACTGATGTACATTATCAGCACAGACTCTCGTTGTTTAATTCATCTTCCTTTATGAAGCTCTATCAGTGTGTCAGAAAACAGGCTGAACGGAGAATAGAAACTAATAGAGCGGCTCTCGTACAGCTGATGGCGGCGGCAGGTGTGTGTGTGTGTGTGTGTGCAGAAGTTCTGATGAGAACCAATTAGAGGAGACACCGATAAAAAATGATGATTAATTACAGTGTGTGAGCGACACTGCAGTAATGGATACTACGGTAAAGAAAAATGAAGGAAGAGAGGAAGAGGAGAGACTCAGACGGTAGCCGGGGGCGTTCAAGAGCAGAAGAGGCTTTTAGAAACGTGTGTGTGTGTGTGTCGGGACAGCAGATATAGACCTGCTTTAAATTATTAATCACTCAGGAGAAATAAAGTTTAGAACTGAATATGGAGGGTTTTAATGGTAGTTATATGTGAAGATGAATCAAAATGATGTATTCTTCTGACATATATGACAAAATCATAAACCGCACGCTGTGGAAACGCTGTGGAATTTAATTCACCACACTGTTTATTCTGTACTCATCTATGTTGCTTTTTATGTGTCTATACCTTTGAATAAGCAAATCAAATCCATTAAACATGAAAGTATTATGCACTCGTTTAAGACATTTCTCCTTATATAAAACCGTTTGGGCTTTATACTTGAGTCTAGAACTGTGGGATTATACAGAGCTGAATATTAGCGTCGGGGGATTGAGACGTCCCGCTCCAGGACACAATAGCCGGGTCAGAGGAAGGACATGATCATTAAACCATCAGCTGAACGCCTCTAGATCATCACATCACATGACACGAGTCTTCATAGATAACAAGTTTTTTTTTTTTTTCCAATTTATTCTTAATTTAGTTTCAGTTGTTCATAAATGGTTTTATTTTATTAGTTGTTTTGGAAAATGACTTTAGTTTTTTTTTTTTTTTTTAAAGAATATTAGAATGTTCATCTTTTTTTAACATGGTACATCAAATGCCTTCGTCTGATTATGACGACACTTTATCAGTAATGCAGGGTTAGTTTTTGTACGACATCAGATGAACACTTCTTGAGTACAGAGAACACACACAACATATATTGCTTTTGTCTGTAATGCATGCATTTTTTGCATTTACAATATTTTTGCATGTATTAATGCATTAATTTATGCGCTAACAATATTTGTGCATGTATTAATGCATTTATTTATTTATGCATTAATTTATGTATTTACACTTACAGTACTTGTGCATGCTTTAATGCATTAATTTATGCATGTGCATTATTTATTCATGCACTAACAATATTTATGCATGCATTTTTGCATTTATTTATTTATGCATTTACAATATTTGTGCATACATTAATCCATTAATTTATGCACTTTATGCTCTAACGATATTTGTGCATGCATTAATGCATTTATTTATTTATGCATTCATTTATGTATTTACATGCTTTAATGCATTCATTTATGCACCTGCAATATTTATGCATTTACAATATTTGTGCATGCATTAATCCATTAATTTATGCACTTGCATTATTTATTTATGCACCAACAATATTTATGTATGCATTTTTGCATTTATTTATTTATGCACTAACAATATTTTTGCATGCATTTATTTATTTATGCACTCGCAATATTTGTTCATTTAGGCAATTGAAATATAATACATACAGTAATACATTTATTTATTTATGCACTCGCAATATTGATTTATTTATTACATTATTTATGCATAGGTTTTTGAGTTTTCACTGCTGGTATTTTAATGTTGTAGCAGTGTTGGTTCACCGTACTGATGTTGGTGAGACGTTCTGCTGTGTTTCTTTATATAGAACACATATATTAGTGAAGGAAATGAAACTCTTTGCAATGATTATCATCTGACACAGGCCGCTCACACACACACACACACACACAGTCTTCAGCCTCGCCGCGTCATTTCTCCTTAATTTAATTATGCGTGCGCTGGTCTTCCCCGGCCGGTGAGAGGTTAACCGGCGGCTCAAACGTGTCCGTCTCTCGCCTGATGAATCGATCTCACGTCTGCAGCCTGTGGCGAGAATACATTACCATAACATACTGTACATGTAAGACCGACCAGAGCTCTAGTTCAGACCATAAATCATCTTTCATTTCTGAACTAATGAGAGACCAAATCATTAGTGCTTAGTTAATTATCCGTGGCTCACGGGTGCAAATGGAAATAATGAATGACAGTGTGTGCTTTATACTGAGAAAGGTATCACTGCTTATGTGTGCGCTTAGTGAACACGTACCTCTGGTGTGTGTGTGTAGCTTTGCTTTCTAACAACAGGTGCAGGCCTGCTCTCAAAATAACCAATTATCTGAGCACGACTGGTACCGAATCCCTCTCGTTCTGAAGCATTTCATTTATTTATTTCTCTGTAGTGCTCCTTCATTAATCTCTATTCAGTGATTCATGCTCTCTATCTCTCACTCACACTCTCACACACACACATTCTCTGTACCTGCAGTATTATGAGCAAACATAGGGCCGGAGTCCAGCGGGAGGACAGACTCTCTCTCTCTCTCTGAGGCGCTGATGAGAGTGATCGGATGTTCTGACCACAGAGTGTAGTCACCACTGGTGTAGTCCTGTAAACCCTTCACACATGCAGCCGCCCCTAAATAAATCATATCATATTAATAAAACAGAGCAGAGGTCGAGAACAGTCCCATGTGACCTCAGGAGCTGATAAAGATCTTCATTATTCATGTGTTTTAATCCCTTTACATTCATTTTTGTGTTGCAGTATAACTATGAAGGAAGTGACATCAGCGATCTCCCCGTCGAACTGTCTGTGGTGTGGAACGGAAACTTCATCATCGACAACCCTCACAACATGCAAGGTAACCATGCTTTAGCGGGTTGCCTAGCAACCTTTACTTGATGCTGCAGAGAGTTGCCTAGCAACCTTCACTTGATGCTGCAGAGAGTTGCCTAGCAACCTTCACTTGATGCTGCAGAGAGTTGCCTAGCAACCTTCACTGGATGCTGCAGAGAGTTGCCTAGCAACCTTCACATGATGCTGCAGAGAGTTGCCTAGCAACCTTCACTGGATGCTGCAGAGAGTTGCCTAGCAATAGCAACCTTCACTGGATGCTGCAGAAAGTTGCCTAGCAACCTTCACTTGATGCTGCAGAGTTGCCTAGCAACCTTCACTTGATTCTGCAGAGAGTTGCCTAGCAACCTTCACTTGTTGCTGCAGAGAGTTGCCTAGCAACCTTCACTTGATGCTGCAGAGAGTTGCCTAGCAACCTTCACTTGATGCTGCAGGGAGTTGCCTAGCAACCTTCACTGGATGCTGCAGAGAGTTGCCTAGCAACCTTCACTGGATGTCTGCACTAATCTTATTATATTTTCTTATTTTTTTATTAATTTATTTAGTTATTTTATCAATACTTATTTATCAAATGTTTCCTTATTTTAATCTTATTTATTAATTTTCTTAGTTTTAATTAATTATTTATTTATACATATGTATTTATTTTAATGCCATTTTTATTAATTTATTTTATATTATTTATTTACTTGTTTGTTTACTTACTTTTACACTTTAATCTAATTTTTTTTTTTGTTTGAATATACATATTTTTTTCATTCTTAGTTTTCCTCGTATATATGTGATGCGGAAGCTTTGAGTTCTGTAGGCCGTGATCTTGAGTGTGTGTGTGTGTGTGTGTGGTCTCTGCAGCGCACCTCTACAAGTGCTTCGCTCTGAGAGAGAGCTGTGGTGTGTGTCTGAAGGCCGAGCCCAGCTTCGACTGTGGCTGGTGTGTGCAGGACCGGAAGTGTTCGCTGCGGCAGGAATGCGCTCAGCCGGAGAACACGTGGATGCACGCCAGCGCCGGGAACAGCCGCTGCACACACCCGCGCATCACCAAGGTCAGTCGCAGCACGGCTAACCAGATTCATGTTTATGTGGAAACCGTGTTTTCAACCCTGAGAAGGAGGACCGTGAATTGCGTAAATCTTTCAATTTTCGAATCCATTTAAAACTCTGTTGTCAACATCTGAAGTGGATCAAAACAGGTCATCAAAGTTATTCTAAGACCATATGTAACATACAATATTGATGTATAACTTTGAGGAAAGGTTTTGATCCACTTCTAATGGATATTTAATGGAAGGGATACTGTACCTTTAAATGCTGCTCCATCTGTGTCTTACGTTCTTTGCTTTCCAATTTAGATCGTTAAAATCTTACAATTTGTATGGTGACTTGATTATTAATCTGTCAACAGAGGAGTTTTATGGTCTCCCTGATATAAGTTTTGTTTTAATGTTTGAAAGCAAAGTATTAAATACTAGTATTATAATTTTCAGTTATTCTCTAAATAAAAGTATTATTAGCGTTATCATTGATTAATTGAACACATTTTGAATTTTTAGTACAATAGCATTGCAATAATAATAGTAATAAAAGTTTTTGTTTTATAAATGTTAATAAAAAATATTATTGTATTTAATAATAACAATACGTGTTCAAAATATTTTATTTACATTTTAAAAATAAAAAATCAATTTTGTTATTATTGTATTATAATATAAATAAAAGTATTATAATAATGTAATAATAATGTTTATTGATTGGAAAATATTTTTATTTTGTAAATGTAAATAATAAAATATTATTAATTAATTATTAGCAATATTTTAATATTAATATATATATATATTAATATTGTATTAACCATCAAAATACTAAATAGTATTATTATTATTATAATTATTATTCAAAACAATATTTTATTATTTACATAAAAAATGCAAAATCCGAAAAACTATTGCAGTATTACTATTATCTTTATTTATATTAGAAAATCTAATTGGATAAGGAGTCAACTTTCTTATTTTGTCAAACGCTGTGCCGTCAAACGCTTGATCTGATGTCACAGGTCATGTTGTGTGATGCTACAGGTCATGTCAGGTGCTGATGATGAGGGACAGTTTTCTTCCTTGTTTCTGCAGTCCTGGACTGAAACACTGAATCCGTTCTCGACGTTCTCCCTCTCTCTGTTTCTCTCGATGTAGATTTAGATTTAGATCTTGTCGTCTTCTGAGTTCTCCTGCCAGAGGAATATTAACTTTTCGAATGTCTACTTACTAAATTTACATCCCCTCGTGTTAATTAAACTCCTCCTTTGTTCTCGTCATTCGATTTCTCATGCGCTCGCTCTATCTGTGCGGCGCCGCCACCGTCGTCTTTTACTTATTAGATTAGGTGTTAATTTAATTTGGAGAAGAATGAATTTATCACATGGATTATTAGCTCACCATAGGCGCTTTGAGAGCCATCTGTTCAGAAGACGTACACCTATTCTCTGCTCTTCTGCTTTACTCTCTCTCGTATCTGGAAAAATGTGTGAATGTCAAATTAAAGCAGTCCCTCTGAAACCAATTACTGTGCGCTCCTCGTTTCGCTCTCCGCGCGAGTGTGTGTTCGTCTCGTGGCTGAAGATCTCGTCATGAACTTCTGATCCTGAAAAGTGGCGTTTGCCAACTATGGTCACAAGTTCTGTCGTCATCATCAGTTCAACGAGAAACCGTCGTTCCAACGAACATTCGCAAACAGCATCGCAGAGGTGTGTGTGTGTGTGTGTGTGTGTGAGCGACAGAGGCAGTTTCTAGATTGCATGACATGCAGTGTTAATTTTGTCAGCAAATTTTGATTTAGTCTTTTGAATAAAATGCCATTTAGTTTTAGTCTTATTTTAGTCATCTGAACTGTTTTAGTTTTAGCCTAGTTTTAGTCGACGCAATTCAATATGATTTCGGACTAAAATATAATGGGTTTAGTTAAATTGTAATGCATTCATTTAGAAATGATCTAAAATGTACAAACATCTATTAACCTGTTAATATGAAGTTTGAACATGCAATACAGATACAGATTTAACTACTGTGACTTTAACTAAAATATCTTAAAATTAAATAAAACCACTTTTCCTTAAAGCCCATCTTTCAAGTTGAAGATCCCTGTGAATGTAGACGAAATTAACACTGGACATGTGGACTCAATAAAACCTCATCTTGAGCAAAATAAGCAAGTATTTGATTTAGAATACATACAAATGTCATTTAGTTTGTAAAGAGGTCATTTTTGAAGAGTGTGAACCTGGAAATTAAGCAAAATCAGACCGATTCATTAGCAGTAGTTATCACTCCAACACCTGCGTGACATCATTAACCAACATGGTTGATCGTCCAGTTTGCGACGATGCGGTTACGTGACGAGCTAGCCGATTTCTTCAACGATGCGTCGTAGTATAGTAGTGAAGTTACACAGTTGTACGGCAAACACAGTCCTGATGTCTCTTTAAAGGAGTAGTTCACTTTTCAAAAAACCTTTGCTGATAATTTACTCACCCCCATGTCATCCAAGATGTCCATGTCTTTCTTTCTTCAGTCGAAAAGAAATTAAGGTTTTTGATGAAAACATTCCAGGATTTTCTCCATATAATGGACTTCAATGGGGACCAAACGGTTCAAGGACCAAATGAGTTTCAGTGCAGCTTTAAACGACACCAGACGATGAATAAGGGTCTTATCTAGGACCCTTCGAGTCATGACTCGGAAAAAGATTTGTTCATTTTGATGAACTAGTTTGAACAGGAGATTCACGAACGCGCATCACAGAACAGAGCAAGGCGAGCATTTGAGCTTATAAAACTTAAACTTTGTTATTTATTTTTTAAATGTCCGATCGTTTCACTTGATAAGACCCTTATTCATCGTCTGGTGTCGTTTAAAGCCCTTTGAAGCTGCACTGAATCTCTCATTTGGACCCTGAACTTTTTGGTTCCCATTAAAGTCCATTATATGGAGAAAATCCTGGAATGTTTTCATCAAAAACCTTAATTTCTTTTCGACTGAAGAAAGAAAGACATGGACATCTTGGATGACATGGGGGTGAGTAAATATCAGCAAAATCTTTTTTAAAAGTTCATTGACGTTCTTCTGTTGATCTGTCCTGGTCCAGTTGTTTCCTGAGACCGGTCCACGGCAGGGCGGAACCAGACTGACCATCACCGGGGAGAATCTGGGCCTTCAGTTTAAAGACATCCAGAACGGCGTGCGGATCGGGAAAGTGGCCTGTACGCCCATCGAGGAGGAATACATCAACGCTGAGCAGTGAGTCTCTATTTAAAGAGTTACAATTCAATTTATTCAACAGGTTTACATATATCAAATGCCAAAAAACACTTTAGTTTCCTCATAATCTCCACTGCAGCATCAGCTCTTTTCTCACAGTGTCTCTCTAAGCTCCGCCCCTCTGAGAGCTGCTCTGCTCTGATTGGTCAGACGGCCCAGTCTGCTGGCATCAATCGTCATATAAGAGTGTTTCCTGAAGGATCATGTGACACTGCAGACTGGAGTAATGCTTTGATCACAGGAATAAATTATGTCTTCAAATATTTAAATTGTCATAATATTTAATAATATTACTTTTTTGTAGTTTTAATCAAATAAATGCAGCCTTGATGAGCAGAAGAGACTTCTTTTAAAAACATTGCAAATCGTACCCATCCCAAACGGCAGTGTGAACGGGCCTTATAGGTCAGGATTTTTATATATATATATATATATTAGGGCTGTGCAAAAATTAATTGCGATTAATCGCATACAAAATAAAAGTCTGTGTTAACATAATATATGTGTGTGTGCTGTATATAATTATTTTGTATATATAAATGCACACACATGCATGTATATATTTAAGAAAATGTGTTATTCATTTATAAAAATATTTAGATTTATATAATATAGATTATGTATTTATATATATATACAGAATTTAAGCGTAAATAATTCTTAAATATATACATGCATGCATAGGAATTTATATATACAAAATAATGATATACAGCACACACAAATATATTATGTAAACACAGACTTTTATTTTGGATGCGATTAATCGCAATTCATTTTTGCACAGCCCTAATATATATATATATATATATATATATAATATATTTTTAATATAAAGCCGGGATGTGTGTTTGCTGCTGTTGCTGAATGACTTTGAACAGTCTCCTGAAGCTAAACAAGCATCAGGGTTTCATTGCAAACACAGAAACTCTTCTCCCATCCGACACAGACGCAGGGCGGTTAATAACTCACGAGCCGCCCCAGGGCATGATGGGAGGATTCTCTGTCCGTCCCATTAATCACAGAGAGCCGTTTTCCAGTCCAGTGAAGGTTTTACTGCGTCTCATTACAGTGGTGTGTGTTCATGTAGTGCCTGTAACCCGTCTGTCTCGTGTTTGGACTCTCAGTCATTGTTTTGAACGTTTAGCGCCAGCGGCCGTGCGTCCAGACCAAACGGCTCTCTTGAATCCGATACGGAAGTGTCTTAACCTGCAGTTCATCGCCTGGCCACTAGAGGCGCTGCAGAAGAGACTCACTCCCATAGACCCGCATGTTAAAACGGCCAACTTTACAGCAGAATAAAACATGTTTGCTAGGGCTGGGTAATAAATATCGATTTTTCAATATTAATCGATTCTCATTTTTACGAACCGATATCGATTCTCAAATCTCAAGAATCGATTAGTCATCCTGTTTCATTTGAATGAATGGATCATTGTATCGCGTCTGCGCGCATCCAAAAAAATTGCAATAATCTTTGTCCTTTGTTACTATTGATATGAAACAAAGTCTCAAATTTAAAATTACGTCCATTTTCTTTAGAAATTCAAAAACATAAATAGTGTTTTGGCGCTGTGGCGTGAGATCGCTCTGGCGATTTATATAATCTTCTTATTATAAAAATAAATAAAAGTGTAGTTTAAGTGTTTGTATAGCTACAAAACAGTTCATTATTACCTTCATATTAGGCTAATGAAGCCCAACTAGACTCCCATAGTTTACAGCATTAGTTCAGAGATTTGATTTCCTTGAGAAAATTTGCCATTTATTGTAACTGATATCCAAAATAATCGATATTAAATCGAATCGAAAATCGAATCGAATTGCAAGCTTGTGAATCGAAATCAAATCAAATTGTGAAATTTGTGTCAATCCCCAGCCCTAGTGGTCAGTTCACAGCAGTGATAGAAATAATAATAATGCATTTTTATTTCTAACGTGCTTTTCTTAGACTCAAAACGCTAAAAATCATCTTTTTCAATAAGGTTCAAAAATATTATTTTGCATTTGTACGTTTCTAAAGCTATTTTTAAACCTATTTATCCTCTTTTGTGTCAAATTCTTACATTTAGTCAATTCATTCAATTAGAAAAATAAGACACAATAGGGCTGTTACCTATGGAAGCTTGTTTCCACCAAAGAATAAAACATTTTAAAAGACAATTGTGACTTTTTATCTCACAATTGCATGTTATAAAGTCAGAAATGCGAGATTTAAACTCACAAATCTGATTTTTACTCTCTACGTGTGTTTCTGTAAAGTGAGGGACATACTGAATAATGTCAGATCAACAATCACGATATTATCATAGACAATAAATATCAAACATGATATGACTCACCAGCACATTAATGGACTCGATCACGTCGATGAAATGTTTCCAGTCTGGTGCTAAAAGTGGTTTTGGTCTATATCGCTAATTTCACCCTTCATGACGACTGTGACGGGGGTGCATTTCTTTATAACTCATCCGTTTAAATAATATTAAGCTTTAAGATTGTGCATAATTAAGGGCGTGGCCACTTGAGTGACAGGTGGATTGGCCCTGCTAGTGTTAGCGTCACCTCAGCTAATCCGCCTCTTTGCACTTTTTCGTTTATCCGGGAGTGACGCGCGGCCAAGATGGCGACGGCCGGCTCCGCCCACTTTGGGCTTCAAAAACGCTCTTCAGAAGCACAACGGGTGACATCACACACACTACGTCCATGTTTTTTTTACAGTCTATGATCCAGACCAGTCTAAGACCCTCGTTTCTCTCTCTCTCTGCAGGATTGTGTGTCGTTTGGCCGATGCCACAGGTTACCGTGTGCAGGAGGCTCAGGTGGAAGTGTGTGTGCGAGACTGTCTGCCGGAGTACAGGGCCGTGTCTCCTAAAGCCTTCACGTTTGTGGTGAGTTTCGCCAAACATTAGTCCCAAACTGATGAGCAATAACTTCTCAAAAATCAGAAAAAAGATCCAGAATAATGTTGCCAAGGTAACACATGGCACTGAACCCAAAAAAACGTTTTGGACGGTAAAATCCTGTGAGCTGTTTGGCCTATATTCGTGTGCGGATCATTTTTCAGATTTTTGAGTTTCAGTGTCACACGTAAGACCGGACGAGGACGTCTTGTGTTACAAACTCTGAAGTGATTATATTTGGTATGTTCTCCTGCCCAGTCGCCGTACTTCTCACGTGTGCTGCCGTCGTACGGGCCGATCTCTGGAGGAACGAGGATCACGATCCACGGCAGTCATCTGAACGCGGGCAGCGCCGTCTCCATCAAGATCGGCCTCAACACCTGCCGCTTCCTCAGGTACTGCTCCTCTGTGTCACGCTAGAAGCGTCTCCATTACACATTTGCGCAAAATTTGTGCATTTTTTTCCCCTAAATATCGATAAATTATTGCGAAATGACGGCGTTTCCTTTAACCGATGTTATGCGAGTAAAACAGCATTTATTGCTCTCGCGATAAGTCATTCCGGTAACACTTTACAATAAGGTTCATTAGTTAACATTAGTAAATGCATTAACTAAACTAACATGAACTAACAATGCATTAGTTACAGTGTTTATTAATCTTTGTTAATGTTAGTTAATACAAATAGTGTTGTTCATTGTGCGTTCATGTTAGTTCACAGTCCATTAACTAATGTTAACTAATACAACCTTTGATTTTAACTAACGTATTAGTAAATGTTGGAATCAATATTAACTAAGATTAATAAATGCTGAAGAAGTATTGTTCACATATTGTACATGTTAACTAATGAACCTTATTGTAAAGTGTTACCATCATTCCAAACATCACGGCGACGGATGTTGGTAGGTTTATATTATTACATTATTACTATTAATGGAAGGAGACGTGTGTGTGTGTGTGTGTGTGTGTGTTATCCAAGCACTAATGGCAAGAAAAGTTTCTCTGCTCGAGCTCGTGACTGTGGCGTTTCTTTGAGGTTTAGAATCCAGTATTCCTGTAATTATTTTGTCTTTTATGAATTTAATAAAGAGCTCCGTCTCGCGTCAGGTGACTATAAATGTGCAAAAACGGTTTCCATTGCAGTTTTGCGAAATATTCCTTTTTCGAATTGCCTGAAAAAACCCTCATGCGAACGTAAAACGTTTTTTGCGATAATCGGGAGTGTTTGCGAAATTGACGTGTTTACATTGTGTGTGTTTTCAATTCGCAATTTGAAGGGTATTGGAAACGCGGCTACCGTAATCTGTAAACCAGACCTCAACCGCAGATGTACTGCATTCAGATGCGTCCCTCAGTGCTGGGATGGTTTTATGTGATGAAATAAATTAGCAAAATATTTACTACATTACTCATAGTTTTAATTTAGTTGGGTTTATGTGCAATTTTTTTTTTAAATCACACAATTTTTTACTTTTTAATGAAATAAATGACCACAATACATTGATCAGTGTGTGTTATTATTGACTAAAACTATTAAAAGTTATTTTTAAATTAAAATAAAGCTGAAATTAAATCAAATATTAATGATAGAAATGTTGCATTGGACCTGAAATAAAAAAAAAAAAAAATTGAAGGACTAAAATAACTAAAACTGAAATATACATTATTTAAAAAATTACAAAAGCACATAATAAAATTATTAAATATTAAAATTAAATTAAAATGAACCTGAAAATATAAATAACAGCTTATTCAAAATATTAATACATACTATAATAGCATCCATGGTTTTTGATTGAATTGATTGGAATACTATTTAAACACAATATTTCATCTTAAAATCATTATATTTTGCACAAAGAATTTTTTTTAGACCAGTTAGATTTTGTTCATGGAAATTAAGAACATTTCAATTTATAATTTCACATTAGCATAATGCATTTATTTTAACAATATTCTCTCTCTCTCTCTCTCTCTATATATATATATATATATATATATAAAACCAAAAAATCATAACTTTTTTTATTATTTATTAATTTTGGTGTTAAATTTCACCTGAAGTCTTCTCTTTGCCGTCTGATATCATCTCTAAATGATTGTGCTGTCATAGTACTTTATCGTAGGGGTGATACATTTTTTATGACTTTATTGTCTCAGGGAAAATGTATTATGCAGTAAGTCTAAAATAATATTGTCATGAGACAGGAACTGGCAGAAGTGACTGATTTCTCTCAGCCGTCTTCAGAAGCGACGGATGGGTTTGTGCTGTCAGAGCCGATCATGTGACGTCAGTCTTGTCAAAACACATCCAGAACTCGGCAGGTTTCACCAGTGTGTGTTGTGAACACGGTTGCCTAGGCAACACCGCAACTTCACACACACACACATCAAACATGGGAACAAACCTTCAGACTGAATCTCATCCTCCTCTTATCTGTCACATGACTAATCGCGCCGTCAGACGCACGTGTGTTCGTTTGATCAGATTAAAGTCCGTCATGTTCGGAGTCGTGAATCTGTGATCTTTGAACCTCCAAACCTGATGCAACCTGATGAAACACACCCTGCGCACGTGATCCGCTTCACAATCAATTCTCTCTCACAATAAACACATGTAATAACACAAAAAGATTGGTGTTGTAGAGTGTGTGAAGGTCCTTGCACATTTCGCACGTTCAAAAATATATACGAGCTCATGTTGTCAATCACGTTGAAACTTTCATCCGTCTTGAAGGAATTCGATTTTCTGTGTTTATCCATAGCAGGTGTTTTTACGATTCAGAGACACCAAAAAAACGCTTTTGAAAGTGTAACAGAAGGAGATGTGTGTGTTTTGTCTGACAGGCGCAGCGCCCGTGAGATCGTGTGTGTGACTCCAGCAGGACTGGGTTCAGGCGGGACGCCGGTGATGGTGGATATAAACGCAGCCGAGCTCAGAAACCCTGAGGTGAAGTTCAACTACACGGAGGATCCCAGCGTCCTGAAGATCGAGCCCGACTGGAGCATCGCCAGGTGCGTCTCACACACTCTCACACACCCTGACCTGCTCCTCTAGGCTTGAAGCGTGGGTTAGATGCTTTAGCGCGAGTGTGTGCAGCTCGAGGAACATCGCATCATCAAACTGATGACAGAGAAAAGATGAACACAGACCAGCGCTCAACCGTGAACAAGAGAGAGAGAGAGAAAGGGAATGAGTGAGAGACGGACGAGAGAAAGAGAGAGAGCTTAACGAGGCTTTATTATAACATTAACTTTTTCCAAATACCAGATTTCTTATCTGATCATACAATCCAAAAAAATCTATAAATACAATAAAAAATATATACACAATAATTATTAGGGCTGGGTTTTGACTCAAATTTCACAATTCGATTCGATTTCGATTCAATATCGATTATTTTGGATATCAGTTACAATAAATGGCAAATTTTCTCAAGGAAATCAAATCTCTGAACTAATGCAGTAAACTATGGGAGTCTAGTTGGGCTTCATTAGCCTAATATGAAGGTAATAATGAACTGTTTTGTAGCTATACAAACACTTAAATTACACTTTTATTTAGTTTTATAATAAGAAGCATTTAAATAGTGGCTGTCAAACTTGCCAGATTTATTCAAATATGCATTAAATATTGAAGAACATTAAGATTATAATGCATGTAATATGGTGTATATATTTAGCAAAATGCTCCTCTCTAGAGTTATTTTTTCAGCTGACTAACGAGTTTATGTGGGTTTTCTGAGGTAAATATGACGATACATTGATTACAAGCTGTTTAACTGACGTCTTTCCACGGTTGAAACGCTGATTGAGTGAATCAATGTGACATGATCTGGATTTGGATAAGTTGTCCTCTATCTTTAACACACTTTCAGATGCTCATTCATGTTTATTTGGCGCTGTGACTGGTATTATTAAGCCGGACGAGAGATCAGCGCTGCTGCTTCTCCAGAGCGATCTCACGCCACAGCGACAAAACGCTATTTATGTTTTTGAATTTCTAAAAAAAAATGGACGTAATTTGGAAATTGAGACTTTGTTTCATATCAATAGTAACAAAGGACAAAGATTATTGCGAATTTTTTTTTTTTTTTTTTTTTTTTGGATGCGCGCAGCCGCGATACAATGTTCCATTCGTTCAAATTAAACAGGATGACTAATCGATTCTTGAGATTTAAGAATCGATATCGGTTTGTAAAAATGAGAATTGATTAATATCGATAAATCTATATTTATTACCCAACCCTAATAATTATACTTCAATCATTCTTAAAATTTGAAAACATCACACAAATCTCATATTTCGGCGAACCTTTAAATATCATTAATCAATTGAAAATATGTGTATTCAATTTTAATTCTAGTTTAATGATATTAGAAGATTTAACATTTGTATTGCAAAGTTTATTTCCATGTAAAAAATAAAAAAACGAAGCTACTTTTATTTATTTACTGTATTTTTATAATTATTCACTTATTTGTATTGTATAGTGTTACGAATGCTTTGGCAATCTAAAGATTTCTTTCACCATGCCAATAAAGCTATTTGAATCTTCAATCTTGAAATGAATCTTAAACTAATTTATTTTAGAGAAAAAAAAAATCTTACTGACCTCAAACGTTTGAAGGGTAGTGTAAGCTGATGGATGGCTAAGATGAGGAAATGTGTGTGTTCTTGAGTTTACTCTGTTATTTTCTCTCTGTTAGCGGTGGAACCCCGTTAACCGTCACCGGCACAAACCTCGCCACCGTCAGAGAGCCGGAGATGAGAGCCAAGTACGGCAGCGTCAGTGCCGTCAACGTAAGTGTCTGACACACACATTCACCACTGCAGATTCAGCACTTTATGCTCTCTGCAAAATATATTAAAACACTTTTTCCCAAATTAGTCTAAACTGTCTTTATATATCAACACATATCTCAAATGTAAGTACTCTGAAAGGAGTGTCAGTAGTCCTCTCAGGGCTGCAATAAACACAGCTACTCTTAATATTCAGAACAAATGCACTGATTGGCTGGGCGACTGTCACTCTCCCTCGCTACCATGGCAACCACCACTGCTGCTACAGGAGCCGCCCACACCCTGCCTTTAAAGCAGCTTAATAAAAAGAAACATGCAAAACATCATGTTAGAGTGATTTCTGAAGGGTCATGTGACACTGAAGACTGAGTAATGATGCTGAAAATACAGCTTTGATCACAGGAATAAATTACATTTAAACATATATTCACATTTGAAAACAATTGTAGTGATATTTTCAACAGTGTTTTTGATCAAATAAATGCAGTATTTGTGAGCAGAAGACGCTTCAAAACTGTGCGTGTTGACTGTATAGACTAGTTTTCTGGTGTTTTCAGTCTCTTCTGAGCTCTAAAGCTGCTGGAACAGGAAAACAAGTGTGTTCAACCGAAGCCCTGTGTGCCTGCACATGTTTTTCTTTGCGTTTGTGTGACATTGAATCACCTTTTCCCAGTTTAACCTTTAAAATGACGGGATATAGAACAAGAAATGTCTCTATAAAGCCCAGAGAAAGTCCCGCAGGGCGAACATAACCTTTCCTCCTCCTTGACCTGCTCATCTGAACGGCTCTCGCTGCTGTTTTCCTGTGCTCTTAACCAACGTCAATCTCTCTCTTTCTCTCTCTCTCTCTCTCTCTCTCTCTCTCTCTCTCTCTCTCTCTGAAAGTTGAATCAGAATGTAGTTGCTATTTTTTTCAAACATGTTGCAAGCAAGAATATTGATTAATTTAGCTTATTACAAGCATATGGATGATAGTTTTACTTTTGAAGGTATTGGGTGTTGCAATGAGATTTTGTTCTCTGTATTTGCACATTTCTTGTGAGTTGGGGTTGCTCATAATATTTATGATTTATTTGTATTAAAGGTTTGTTCAAATTCAAACTCTCTCTCTCTCTCTCACACACACACACAGAACTGTACTGTGCTGAACAACACTGTGATGGTGTGTCTGGTGCCGTCCGTGGCCGGTTCTGAAAGAGGTTTCTCAGAGGTGGGCAGCGGGCCGGATGAGATCGGGTTCATCATGGATAACGTTCAGACGCTCCTGGTAGTGAACGAGACCTTCAGTTTCTACCCCGATCCTGTGTTTGAACCCTTCGGTCCGTCCATGCAGGAGCTCAAACCCGGTTCTCCTCTCATACTGAAGGTACTGCGGGATCTCAGTGCACTTATGCTGTGTTTCTTTATTTTTGACTTAAGGAGGTAGTTCAACCAAAAAGGAAAATTAGCCTATGATTTACTCACCCTGAAGTCATCCTAGGTGTATATGACACTCTTCTTTCAGATGAATACAATCTGAGTTATATTAAAAAATATCCTGGCTCTTCCAAGCTTTATAATGGCTGTGAATGGCTGTTTCTGGTTTGAACTCCATAAAAGTGCATATATATATATCAAAAAAGTCCATCTATCCATCATAAAAGTGCATCTTTCCGTCATTAAAGTGCATCTTTCAGTCATTAAAGTGCATCTTTCAGTCATTAAAGTGCATCTTTCAGTCATTAAAGTGCATCTTTCCGTCGTAAAAGTGCATCTATCCATTATTAAAGTGCATCTTTCTGTCATAAAAGTGCATCTATCCGTCATAAAAGTGCATCTTTCCGTCATAAAAGTGCATCTTTCAGTCATTAAAGTGCATCTTTCCATCATAAAAGTGCATCTTTCAGTCATAAAAGTGCATCTTTCCGTCATAAAAGTGCATCTTTCAGTCATTAAAGTGCATCTTTCCGTCATAAAAGTGCATCTATCCATCACAAAAGTGCATCTATCCATCAAAAAAAATTGCATGTATCCATCATAAAAGTGCATCTCCATTATTAAAGTACATCTATCCATTATTAAAGTGCATCTGTCCATCAAAAAAGTGCATCTATTCATGATAAAAGTGCTCCACACGGCTCCAGGGGGTTAATAAAGGCCTTCTGAAGCGAAACCGAGAGTTTCTTCCATGAGTGTGAGACAAATTATTCTCTACAGTTTGAACTTGTGAAACTGCATAGCAACACCCTAGCAACCATTCACAATCACACCAATGCCATTAAGCCAGCAGGTTTTGCCTAGGACACCTCTCTCCCTTAGAGCTGGTGCTGTGGTGTTGTGCTCCTGTCTCTCACTTCATGCACGGCGTTAAACAATTTCAGAAAAATTACATGCATCGGATTATCATCGCAATTCATTTTCACTCGCAAAACCTTCTGGGTAATATGCAATATGAGTTGAGTCTACGTCTACCCTTCAGTATCACACGTCTCTAAATGAAGCATGTAAATATTTCTGCATGCTTCTGCCTCCGGGTTTTGCCATCCCACAAACCCCTTGGACAGAGAGAGAGGCAGTGTGTGTGTTGGGCGAGTGATGTATAGAAGTCATGAGGAGTTCAAACATCCTGGTTCACAAATGTTGTTATTTTAGTGTTGTTTATATACTATTATAGTTTTGAATTCGCTTTTTAATTTGTTTTAGTAATTTTAATTTTTTTTTTTTTATATTTCTATTTAGCTTTAATTTATCTTTAGTTCAGTTTTGGTCATTTTAGGACTGTCAGGCAACATTTTTAATAATTTTAGGTTTTTAATTTAATATTTATATTTTTTTAGCCCCGCCCCAAACTCTCCACCTGCTACATTAGCCACACCTTAAACTCACGCTATTGGTGGAGCAGAAAGAAGATTGATGGATACTCAATGTTTAGATGGTTAATGAGAAGCTCAATATTTGAAGAGTTCAGATGCAAAAGCCTCTAAATGCCATTTGAAATTTTCTTCTTTAATGATGATTTTTATCAAACTTGTATATTTAAGTTCAGTAATTTCACTTAAATGGCAATGATAATTACCTATTAATTGTTATTTAAGTGAAATTACTGAACTTAAATATACAAGTTTGATAAAAATCATCATTAAAGATGAAAATTTCAAATGGCATTTAGAGGCTTTTGCATCTGAACTCTTCAATTATACTTTTGGGGGAGATAAACAAATAAACATAATAACAGCAGTCAATGAACAATAAACTGGGATTAAGAGAATGTGGTTTTATCCAGAGGTGTTTAAAGTATTCACATTCATTCATTACTCGGGTACTAGGGTTTAAAAAGTATCAACTCAAGCTTTTTACTCAAGTAAAAGTACTGATTTCAAAACTACTTAAAGTATAAAAGTAAAAGTAATGTAAGGAAATAAATGTCATTAAGGACAAAAGCGTAGGCCGCGGCACAGGGTCCTAGTGCACTACCTCCTCAGAAAAACGTTTTTCTAAAGGCCAGAATGTTATAATGAAATGTTAATGTTGAAAAATTTGGGATGCACTAGGATAGGCTACTTGTTTCAGCCGCATATATCCCCATTGAAAATGAACGCATTTTAGTACAATGCAAATACTTTAAAGGGGTCATGAACTGGCTTTTTAAATTTTATAATATTGTTGTCTGAGGTCAACTTATGACGTTCGCTTGGTTTTTGCATTCAAAAACATCAAAATGAATAAGTAATAAGCTATTTTCTACCCTAGTTTTGAGCCTAGCTGAAAAACGCTGGGTTTTTATGGGCGTCTCGCACTGAAGACTTGGAAGTAAACGCCCACTGCTGTGATTGGAGAACAGTTTTGCATATTATAATGAGTTTCGACTCACCCGTCGGTGCACTTGGGGGAAATTGTTTTGAAAACGTCCAATGTTGTAAAATGGCGACCGTAATGATTCGCCCACACATGTTCGACCCAGAGTCAAGAGGAAAATTTGATTTCTCAGTTCATCACCCCTTTAACGAACAATGCATGTGTACTACTGAGCATTAAACTAGCTTTTTTGGGTTAAAAATGATCCTAAATAAATTTTTGAGCAAGTACATAAGCCGAAACGCTGGTAGATTATTTTGAATGATGTTCTGAACATGACAATATGATACAAACTCAAAATAAAGCTGTTTTGTGTGTGTGTGTGTGTGTTTCAGGGCAGGAATCTGATTCCTTCGGCTGCTGGCAACCACAGGCTGAACTACACCGTCCTGCTCAGCGACAAGCCGTGTGTGTTGACCGTCTCAGAGACGCAGCTGCTGTGTGAATGGCCAGATCTCACCGGCCAGCATAAAGTGACCGTGAGTGTGTTTCAGTACACATCTTCAGCTCTTTCCCACGACTATCACACCGTCTCGTTTGTGGCTCTTCCTCTCATTCATCGCCGTTTCAGCCCATGTTTCTCAGCATCGGATTACTGAGGGAGTTTCTGTCTTGCTCTCGGGGGGTTTCCTTGTGTTTATTCACGCTGCGTTTGCAAAGAATCTGATCTGTGTTTACATGTGGTCATTTTTATCTTTAAATAGCTGTCTTTATTTGATGAACATGAGAGTGTACGGGAGCATTGCTCCGATGTTTTTTCCCAAGCTGTCTGCTCTATTTCTGAGACGAGTCTGAAGCGAGGACGGCAGCGTGTTTGACCCACATGTTTGTCCTCGACCCGTATGGAAGCTGTGGCGGCGAGAGTATAAAACTAGCCTGTCTGACCCCATTAGCCCCTTAAACCCGGCTAAGTGTGATCTACGTTATTAAGACGCAGATTTATTTAAGCTACGAGGATTAATGTGGTGCCGTGAGGTGCGTTCACAATGGGATTGTGGGATAAAACGTGATCACAAATGCTCATTTTAGTCCACTCGTAATGATAGTCTTGGTTACTTGCACCTTTCGTTTTTCATGATCATTTTCCCACTTTTACAATTAAAGTCACCTTGAAATCACACTTGAACGTTCTTGTTTTGAATGTTGTTTAATATAAATGTTTTATTTGGCGCAGTTTCATTGTTTTAAATTTGTGTTCCTCATGATCTTGAATCAGAGTAACTTCCTCTCGCAGCATCTCTTCTCTCTCTGATGACGAGGGCGGGGCTATAACCTGTCACTCACGTGAGATCAGTGACACAAACATCCAATCAATTCCTCACAAACACAATGAAGCCCCGCCCACTTTTGTTCTTCATCCAGAAGTGTTTCATAAACATCACAAAAGAAATGAACGCAACTTTCATGATGACTTTAAACAGACTGCTCTTTTATATGTAAATGAGCTCTGTCCTGATTGGCTGACCTTTTTTGCATATGAAATGAGGAGCTGTGTTGGACAGTCATGTGTTCATGAGATCATGATTTTGCGGTTTAGTTTCAGTAACTACTCTTTGCGGACTTGTAAAGGACTTGTTTCCATGCACTGACCACTTTGACACCTGTCAATCATCGTGTGACATGCTCACTGTGTGTGTGTGTGTGTGTGTGGCGCAGATCCTGGCCGGAGGTTTCCGCTACTCTCCGGGAACCCTGCAGATCTACTCTGACAGCTTGCTGACTCTTCCCGCCATCATCGGGATCGGGGGAGGAGGAGGCCTTCTTCTGCTCGTCATCATCATCATCCTCATCGCCTACAAGCGCAAATCCCGCGACGCGGATCGAACGCTCAAGCGGCTGCAGCTGCAGATGCACAACCTGGAGTCCAGAGTCGCCCTGGAGTGCAAAGAGGGTAACTCTCTCTCTCTCTCTTCCTTTCTTCCTTCCTTCCTTACTTCTTCCTTCCTTTCTCCCTTCCTTTTTTCTTTCCTTTCTTCCTTTCTTTCTTCCTTCCTTTTTTTCTTTCCTTTCTTCCTTCCTTTCCTTCCTTCCTTCCTTAATTTCTTTCCTTCCTTCCTTCCTTCCTTTCTTCCTTCCTTCCTTTCTTTCTTTCCTTTCTTCCTTCCTTCCTTCCTTCCTTCCTTTCTTCCTTAATTTCTTCCTTTCTTTCCTTCCTTCCTTCCTTTCTTCCTTCCTTTCTTTCTTCCTTTCCTTCCTTCCTTCCTTTCTTTCCTTTCTTTCTTCCTTCCTTTCCTTCCTTCCTTTCTTTCTTCCTTCCTTAATTTCTTCCTTTCTTTCCTTCCTCCTTTTCTTCCTTTCTTCCCTTCCTTCTTTTCTTTCTTTCTTTCTTTCTTTCTTTCTTTCTTTCTTCCTTCCTTTGTCCCTTCCTTTCTTCCTTCCTTTCTTCCTCCCTTCCTTCCTTTCTTCCTTCCTCTCTTCCTTCCTTTCTTCCTCCCTTCCTTCCTCTCTTCCTTCCTTTCTTCCTCCCTTTCTTCCTTCCTTCCTCTCTTCCTTTCTTCCTTTCTTTCTTCCTTCCTTTCTTCCTTCCTCTCTTCCTTCCTCTCTTCCTTTCTTCCTTTCTTCCTTTCTTTCTTCCTTCCTTTCTTCCATCCTTTCTTCCTCCCTTCCTTCCTTTCTTCCTTCCTTTCTTCCTCCCTTTCTTCCTTCCTTCCTCTCTTCCTTTCTTTCTTCCTTCCTCTCTTCCTTCCTTCATTCCTTTCTTCCTTTCTTCTTTTCTTTTCTTTCTTCCTTCCTCTCTTCCTTCCTCTCTTCCTTTCTTCCTTTCTTCCTTTCTTTCTTCCTTCCTTTCTTCCATCCTTTCTTCCTCCCTTCCTTCCTTTCTTCCTCCCTTTCTTCCTTCCTTCCTCTCTTCCTTTCTTTCTTCCTTCCTCTCTTCCTTCCTTCATTCCTTTCTTCCTTTCTTCTTTTCTTTCCTTTCTTCCTTCCTTCCTCCCACTTTTTCATACTTTTTGATACTTTCACTCTTTCTTTTGTTTTATTTGTGCTTTCCATCTTTTGTGCAATTTCACACTTTCTTTTGCACTCTTTTGTTGAGCTTTCTTTCGCTCTTTCACTACTTTTGCTTTTCTTCTTTTGCTCTGTTACTTTCTTTCTTTCTTTTTTTCTTCTGCACTTCCTTTCACTCTTTCCTTAATATTTCCTTTGGCTTGTTGTTCTTTTTTTATTGGCTCTTTATCCGTCCTCTTGTTCTCTTTCATTATTTGTTTGTTCTCTCCATCTCATCACTCTCCTTCAATCCTTTTCAATTGATTTCAATTCCATCCTTCTCTTCGCCGTCTCTCTCTGATTGGCTTTGTTTTCTCCGGTCTCCTGTTAGCGATGACCTCACGACGCACACATCATTTATCATACACACGCGCTCGCACCGAACGCCCGTCTCATTCCCTCCGCGGTCACAAGGGCGTGAGACGAGTCGCCCATTATCTGTCTCTGTCGGGCCCGAGGTGACGACCTTGTCCGTCTCCAGACTCGGAGAGAGGAATGAGGACAGGAAAGAGAGGATAAAAGAGATTGATAGCGGGAGGGGAGAGTGACGGGTCACTGATAAGTGATGAGGCGTCCTCCAGGATGAATAAAAAGAGGCGATAAATAACCACATAACATCCAGATTGATCAGGCGAGTGACAGACTGGATCGGAAGCTTGTGCAGGAAACCATGTTGCTTGTTTAATCTTGTTAATAAGCATAACTTTCTCAGTGTGTTACGTGGTGTTTGGTACTCACCCCATATGTAGAGTGGTCTTAATAAGTGCAGTCCTCCTCAGTGTAGAAGCTGTCAATCATGACGTCACATTCCCGCATTTATAGCATCAAATAACTAACTAAAGAAGATCACTTAAATTTACAGCAGCGTGAAATAAAACTACCTAAAATGACAAACATCTTTGGAAAAAATTCATTTGAAGTGTAATTTGATTGTTTAGTTCATTAGACTTCATGGTGAGGATTTTGATCAATTCCCGGGAAGCCGGGAAGAGTGAGATCCGCTGCTCGTGTGTGTGCAGTCTGGTACAACACACTCAGGCATGACGGCATAACGCTATGATTATAACGTGAGACTGTAGAAACAATGACAGACGTTAGCTTCAGTAAGGTTAGCTTCAGTAATGTTAGCTTCAGTAAAGTTAGCTTCAGTAAGGTTAGCTTCAGTAAAGTTAGCTTCGGTAAAGTTAGCTTCAGTAAGGTTAGCTTCAGTAAAGTTAGCTTCAGTAAGGTTAGCTTAGGTAAAGTTTGCTTTGGTAAAGTTAGCTTCGATAAAGTTAACTTCAGTAAGGTTAGCTTCAGTAAAGTTAGCTTCAGTAAGGTTAGCTTCAGTAAAGTTAGCTTCAGTAAGGTTAGCTTAGGTAAAGTTTGCTTTGGTAAAGTTAGCTTCGATAAAGTTAGCTTCAGTAAGGTTAGCTTCAATAAAGTTAGCTTCAGTAAGGTTAGCTTCAGTAAAGTTAGCTTCAATAAAGTTAGCTTCAGTAAGGTTTACTTCAGTAGAGTTAGCTTCAGTAAAGTTAGCTTCAGTAAAGTTAGCTTCAATAAAGTTAGCTTCAGTAAGGTTAGCTTAGGTAAAGTTTGCTTTGGTAAAGTTAGCTTCGATAAAGTTAACTTCAGTAAGGTTAGCTTCAATAAGGTTAGCTTCGGTAAAGTTAGCTTCAATAAAGTTAGCTTCAGTAAGGTTTACTTCAGTAGAGTTAGCTTCAGTAAAGTTAGCTTCAGTAAAGTTAGCTTCATTCATTGAGAGAAAATGTGCGCCTTTAGGGTTTGTAGTCTTTGTAATTACGTGTTTGTAGTCTTATACCTCAACAGTTTTACATCAAACTGCGACTTTCTTTACTTTAAAATGTATCTTTTAAATTGACAATCATCGTGTAATTCAGGGCACAATTCAAACGAGATCAAAATATTTTTTGTCTCTCGCCATTAGCATCATTTTTCCAAAATAAGGTCCCATGGTGAAGAGGGACTTACGCTCTCTATGAGCATCTACTTCTGACTGACTGAATATCTGATCAGAATCCAAGAAACCCATTTTCTTCTGTTTTTTCATGACGCCGAGATTCATGGTTTCTCTGACTCTGTCTCCAGCGTTTGCCGAGCTGCAGACCGATATCCATGAGTTGACTCAGGATCTGGACGGAGCTGGAATACCGTTCCTGGATTACCGCACGTATGCCATGAGAGTGCTTTTCCCAGGAATAGAGGACCATCCGGTGCTGAAGGAGATGGAGGTACATGCGGACAGCTTTAACCCAGGCTAATGTTAGACCAGAGCAGAGCTAACCCCGGACTAAACCTGGTTTATTCTCCACTGCCGTCTCCGGGTGGAGTTTGGCTTTAGCTGGGGTTTAAAACACGCATTCAGTAATATTCATGATTTGATAATGACACTGTTGTCTTCTGTAGAACTGCTTTACAGCTGAATGTGAGTTTGTTTTATAATTGATCAAGTACTATTTTAATATTTTTTCGTTATTGTTATATTTAAAAAAATAGTAAAAAATAGTAAAAAAATATTTTTATATTATTGTTTTTATTGTTTTATTGCTAAATTTATTTATTTATCCTAACCCTTTATTTTATTGTATTTACTTACCTTAACCCTTTTATTATTATTATTATTATTATTGTTATTTATTTTATCATGTTATTTTATTTATCCTAACCAATTTATTTATTATTAGTAGTAGTAGTTTTTTTATTTACCTTAACCCATGAATTATTTTTTTTTACTTAACCATCTATTATTATTATTTATTTTATTATTTATGTATCCTAATAATATTTGTTTATTTAACTTGGCCCTATTATTATTAATTGTATGTATCCTAACCCGTTTATTTAAATATATATTCTTATTTATTGATTTATTTTCTACCTGAACCCATTTTTTATGGAGCGTAATTGAACCAAATTGAATCAATACTGAACTGAATTGATCTGAATAATAACACTAAACTGCTATATAAATAAACGTGTCTAGACTTGATGTTTTGTTCTGATCGCTGTGTCTCGTCTCGTGTCTCTCAGGTGCCGGCGAACGTGGAGAAGTCTTTGACTCTGTTCGGGCAGCTCTTGAATAAGAAGCACTTTCTGCTGACGTTCATCCGTACGCTAGAGGCTCAGCGCTCGTTCTCCATGCGGGACCGAGGGAACGTGGCTTCTCTCATCATGAGCGCCCTGCAGGGAGAGATGGAGTACGCCACCGGTGTCCTGAAACAACTGCTGTCCGACCTCATCGACAAGAACCTGGAGAGCAAGAACCACCCCAAACTCTTGCTCAGAAGGTACGCCATCTCATGTCACCTTCCACTTTTTGTACAGCCGCGTTTCCACCGCAGGAACCAGGGTCTAAATGAAGCTCGGGGTAAATATTTTCCCCTCAGAAAGTCCCTGCTCGCGAGTATGGTTGTGTCTAGAACTGGCCCCCCTGGAATATGATTGCCCCCCTCCAACATCATAGAGAGCCTAAGCCCCTCCCCCTCACCATTGGACCTTATTTCGGAGAAATATTGTATGGTAGTTAATGGCGAGAGACAACTAATATTTTAATTTTTAAAATATTTTTAAAATAACTAAAAATTAATATTTAAAGTCAATAAAGTCGCAGTTTGATGTAAAACTGTTGAGGTATATGACTGTGAAAATACGTAATCACAAAGACTATAAACCCCAAAGGTGCACATTTTCTCTCAATGAATGAAGCTAACTTTACTGAAGCTTTACTGAAGCTTTACTGAAGCTAACTTTACTGAAGCTTTACTGAAGCTAACTTTACTGAAGCTTTACTGAAGCTAACTTTACTGAAGCTAACCTTACTGAAGCTAACTTTACTGAAGCTAACCTTACTGAAGCTAACTTTACTGAAGCTAACCTTACTGAAGCTAACTTTACTGAAGCTTACCTTACTGAAGCTAACTTTACTAAAGCTTTACTGAAGCTAACTTTACTGAAGCTAACCTTACTGAAGCTAACTTTACTGAAGCTTTACTGAAGCTAACTTTACTGAAGCTAACCTTACTGAAGCTAACTTTACTAAAGCTTTACTGAAGCTAACCTTACTGAAGCTAACCTTACTGAAGCTAACCTTACTGAAGCTAACTTTACTGAAGCTAACCTTACTGAAGCTAACATCTGTCATTGTTTATAATCTTACGTTATAATCGTAACGTGACGGCCGTCATGCCAGAGTGTGTTGTACCAGACTGCACACACACGAGCAGCGGATCTCGCTCGTTGTTTCGCTTCCTAGGAGTTCATCGAGCGATTTTCACATAAAACTAAACGTTACTCTTCTGTTTTATGACAAACTGTGGCTTTCTTGACTTTCATAATTATTTTTTAAATGGACAAACATCATATGTGTAATTCAGGGCACACTTCAGACGGAAGTTGGCTCTCATTTTCAAGAATAAACCCAAACTCCTGTCGCGAAGGTACTGCATCTCGTTTCACAGTCAGGTTTTTGTATGGAATATTGCAGTGTTTATTATAAATATTTTATTGGGGCACTTGTTGTGTTTAATTCATGTTCTTTCATACGTACTGAGTCCAAAATTTTAAGGTTTTGTAACCCTGTATTATAAGAGAGCAAGAGCGAAGGTATGGTCATGTTCACGTTCCCATGTCGCACCTGTTAATGGACTTGGTGAGTTTGACTTCTAGAGGTCACTTTACTCTCCCATCACTCATTCGCTCTCCATCCCCCCGTTTCCAGGCTTTGCCCTTTCGTGGTCGTCGGTGTTTCATCCCTCTGTTTCTGTCAGATGATATTACACACCTGAACACACACGCGTTCCCTGCGGAGCGAGATGAAGACGTGACGAGACCAGCTGAGATTTGATGAGAGATAGAGCGTGAGAGTCGGAGGAGTTTATGACTTTAGTCCACAACAGTCTTACATCAATATCACAAAAGCAAATCAACGATTTCTGAAATGATTTCTTCTCCAGTTGATACAGCGCTCGCGTCTCATGTCCTTCACTTTGGCTTAATTTACCATGAAGGTACAAAGACTCAGTCTGGACCTAACGAGAGCATGTCACGGGACATTCTCTGTTTTCCACAAAAGTAGAAAGAAAAAAATTATATTATCTATTTTTAGGACCATTAAGATTCTTTAGCATTGAAGCATTGGCTCCATTTTCTTAACAAAATATAATTTTTAAATAATTTTATTTGTTTTTGTTTGTTTTATCTTTAACCTAAATATGTCTTATTATTATTATTATTATTATTATTATTATTATTATTAATAATAATAATATTATTATTTATTTAACCTAACCATTTATTATTATATTATTATTGTTTATTTATTTAGCTTTAACCCAGTTCTTTATTATTATTTCACTTAACCATTAATTATTATTTATTTATTTTTCACTTAAAAATGTATTATTATTATTTATTTGATTATTTATTTACCCTATCCCATTATTTATTTATTTATTTATTTCACTTAACCATTTTATTATTATTTTTTATTTATTTAGCTTAACCCATTTATTATTATTATTATTATTTTGCTTAACCATTTTTTACTTATTTGTTTTGCCATTATTATTTATATTTTTCGCTTAACGATTTTTTATTGTTATTTGATTTATTATTTTTCCCCATTTTTTATTATTATTATTTAGTCATTTAGTTATTTAGCTAAAACATTTATTTTTATTATTATTATATTATTGTTTATTTATTCAGCTTAACCCAATTTTATTATTATTTCACTTAACCATTAATTATTATTTATTTATTTTTCACTAAACAATTTATTATGTATTTTTCACTTAATGTATTATTATTATTTATTTACCCTGTTCCATTATTTATTTATTTCGCTTAACCATTTATTATTATTTTTTTGTTTATTTATGTAGCTTAACCCATTTAATATTATTATTATATTGCTTAACCATTTTTTAATTATTTATTTTGCCATTATTATTTATTTATATATTTATTTCGCTTAACAATTTTTTATTATTATTTGATTTATTATTTTTCCCCATATCCCATTTATTATTATTATTATTATTATTATTTAGTCATTTAGTTATTTAGCTAAAACATTTATTATTATTATTTGTTTATTTAGGTTAACCCGTTTATTTATTTGATTATTATTATTATTAATTATTATTGGAAAAGTAAATTATGATCAGGTCATGCTCTGGTCTGGACATGTTTTATGATTGATCAGCCATATTCATGCGTCAGCAGGATCTCTCTCTGGACAGTGAATCTGTCAGGAATGATCATCTCGTCTTCAGAGTGATTTGGTTTCAGTTTCTCTTCTTCTCTCTCACATGATGACAAACATCACCTAAAGATCTCAACACACTCTCAATCTTTCACCCCTCCAGAAACGTTTTCTTAATACCTCGTCACAGTGTGTGTTCGTCCGCTCCTCCGCGTCCGCCTTGGCATCCGAACGAGTGAATAATTCAGCAGAGATGGTAAAAACAAACCTATTTCAGCAGACTCCTCGTCTACGCCTCCTCGCGCGCGCCGTGAGCAGATTAGCGCTAATAAGGTCCGTTAATTACCAAGCCGTGTAATTAGCCTCATTCCGAGGGACTTTTTGCGGAGGGTTGTTATTGTGTGCCAGGTTTCTGTTTAATGACAGAAGATACGGAATATTTTTAATTGGTGTTTTCTTAATGAAGTTTAGTGGTTTGCTTTGCGAGGGAAGAGAGCAGCGCTTTGGTTTGTTGTTAATGCTAAATTATTAGCGTGTGTGCTTTGAAGGTTTCTCCCCGAGCTGCGTTCACCATCGCTGCTGGAATAATTCGGCCGCCGCACTTTGATGTCAAATAGGAGTTTAATACAACACACACACACACACACACACCCTAAAGATGTTGGTTATCAGAATGGCTGTTTTCTTGTTGTGCGGCTGGGGAAATTGTGAAATGAAGACGCGTTCAAAGCATCTCGCTGCTCTTAAAGGTTCCCTCAGGGACTCCCACACCCAAGCAAATAAATCCTTGACATGTATTTTTCACTCTGTTCCCCCCTCAGGACTGAATCTGTGGCTGAGAAGATGCTAACAAACTGGTTTACTTTCCTCCTCTTCAAGTTTCTTAAGGTAAGTGGAGGGAACTGGAATGAATGACTGTGTTTCCGTGCATCTTGAGCGATGTTATTCGAGCGCACGGGTGTTTACAGGTTTTAGAGACGTTTAGATTGGACGCTCGTCAGGCTAGGAGACCAACTAAACCGGCCATCTTATCAACAAAATGACTGACTGATTTTTATATTAGTTGCCCATTTTCATACTACTTGGATGCAAATTCACATTATGATAATTATTGAATATATTTAGAGACTGTTAAAGTCCCGCTGTGGAGTAAATCCAGTTTTTAAAGGACAACTCCGGCGCAAAATGAACCTTTAGTCTAATTACACATTGTTACCTAGTCAACCGTTATCTGAGATTTGTTTTCATGATTGCCGAATGTAAATAGTTTTATCTCTAAAAACAGTTTAGCCTATAACGCTAGTATAATGCTATTATATAGGGCATAGAGTAATGACAAATAAAAATCGCTTGTTATTACCCCTAAAAAGGCTCAAAATAGCCCCATACCAACACGACACCATAATAAGGGTCCCTACATTCAAAACGAAGCATTGAGAACTTTGTCAGTGTCCATACAGTTTAATAAGAAGATATTTTATACACACGGTAAATTTCGCGAATACAGGAAGAAGCCATCTTGGAAAAATAGTCTCTACCAGTAGATCTACGAACGCCGATCCAAGTGCGCTGGTGAGATGTGAATAAGGTGATAAAGTGAGCGCGAACAGTAGGCTACGTGTACATATTGAAGACAAATAAACGGTTTGTGTTTGTGTTTCTTCTGGAAACAACGGACCATATGAGATTCTGCACAGTTCAGCGCACTTGGATCGGCGCTCGTAGATCGACTGGTAGAGACTATTTTTCAAAGATGGCTTCTTCCTGTATTCGCGAAGTTGACTGTGTGTATAAAATATCTTCTTATTAAACTGTTTGGACACTGACAAAGTTCTCAATGCTTCGGTTTGAATGTAGGGACCCTTGTTATGCTGTCGTGTTGGTATGGGGCTATTTTGAGCCTTGTTGGTGGTAATAACAAGCGATTTTTATTTGTCATTACTCTATGCCCTATATACTAGCATTATACTAGCGTTATAGGCTAAACTGTTTTTAGAGATAAAACTATTTACATTCGGCAATCATGAAAACAAATCTCAGATAACGGTTGACTAGGTAACAATGTGTAATTAGACTAAAGGTTCATTTTGCGCCGGAGTTCTCCTTTAATGTAGTTTATGTGTGTATGTGGTGTTTTTAATACGCTTTAACACACACCATGTGTAAGTTGATAAGTGGACAGCATTGCTGAGTATTTCCTCCTTAAAACTGCAGTGAACCTCAAAAACACACTTTGAAATCGCTGGTGTTTCTGACGTCACAAACCGCCTTGTAACCAATCAGATCAACGTGTGATCGTCAACCAGTGGATCTCTGAGTGAGTGAGTGGAGGCGGGACTCATTTGCATATTCATAGAACCGCGCATACTACATGAGGCAAGGGTGTCGAGTTACATTCAAGATATTTTAAGGCATTTTCAAGAAAAAAAAAAGTTAAAATATGTGATTTTGGTGATCAAGTTAGAGTTTTAAGTGACAAAATTATTGACTACAGGTGTAAAAAAAAACAAAAAAACACACAAACCTTTGAAAACAAAAAAATGAAATTTTCATCAACAGACACTAGGCACGTTTCCATTACAGATTTGCTTTTTTCTAGAGATTAATTTTTTTTTATTTACAGGGTCAATGCACATAAAGTGTAAACGTGCCAGAATTAGCCCAAGAGGCTATTTTTCATCCATAGACCCTTGACTTGAATGTTACACAGTCACCCTAAAAACAGAGACAGAGCATCACACATATACAAAAAAAAATAATAATAATACTTTGAAATTATTAAAAAATAATTAAAAAATACTGTGAAATTACGGCATTTCCATTAAGCGATGTTATGCGACTAATGCGTAATTTTTTTGCTAAATAAAAAACGTAAAGTCATTCCAAAAATCACGGCGACAAATGTTTTCTGAGTATGATTTCGTGACTGTGGCGTTTCTTTGAGGTTTAGAATCCAGTATTCCTGTAATACTTTTGTCTTTTATGAATTTAATAAAGAGCTCCGTCTCATATTCTGGCCAAACATGCGCAGGTGACTATAAATGTGCAAAAACGGTTTCCATTGCAGTTTTGCGAAATTTTCCCTTTTCGAATTACCTGAAAACCCCCTCATTTGAACGTAAAACACTTTTTTTTTGCAAAATTGATTTCAATTCACAATTTTAATACGTAATTTCAATTTGCGCGATTTGCGGCTAATGATTAAATGGCTAAAACTGAAACCAGCAACCACTTCAGCTGTTTTTCAACAGTGTCCTGAGAGCAAATGAATAAATACAATGATTTCTGATGTCATATGTGAAGTCCAGACACACGCGGCGCTCGGGGATTATTATTCTCCTCGTGTTTGTCTGTGGCCACATCGTGAGATTCAGATGCAATGAGGAGTTCCTAAAAACCCACATTAATATAAAGCGCTTCCGTAAACACACACAGCAGTGAGATGTGTGTGTGTGTCGTCTCCTGCTGCTCATTAACAGCTGTGTGTTTAATTATCCCCTGTGCTAATGAGCCCAGAGTGGCAGGGCCAGCATATGGATGGGCCGAACCTTCCCGCTACGGGTCCCAGTGAGGGACACAAGGGACCACAAACACTCGGCAGGATCACGAGCCGCTGTTTGTCGTTCGGTGTTTGAGAGCGTGAGCTCTGCTCATTAAAGTTGTCTGAGTCTTATACAGTTTAATTACTTTGGGTAATTAGCCATGAGCTTCTATGTTTGTCTGTGTTTAGTGTGTAATGTTGCCAGACACAAAGTCCCTCCAGTGAGTTCTTCTCTATATCAGTGTTTGTTGAACTCCTGAAACGCCTCCATTGTAGTCTTGAGTTTGAACACGTCACAATATTCCTCATTATAATAATTCATGCGCAGAATAAAGGGGCGGGGCCTGGTTGAGTTAGTTAGTAGCATGTTAAACAGCTGGTTATGGTGAGAGCGGGACATTTCCCAAACACACTCGACCAATCACAACACACTGATCCACCCGACCAATCAGAGCACAGTGTGCTTTTCAGGAGGAGGGGCTTCATAGAGACAAGAAGTGAACAGAGCGTTACTGACAGACGGAAAAAATGGGAAAAATGTGTTTTTTGAACATTCAAGCTTTAAAACTTGTTCTAGTAAAGCTCAAAAGCAAAATCAAGACTTAAAAGGGAAAAATATGTCCTCTTTAAAATGAATAATGTGGCTTACTTTCAAACTTGTTTCCTGAACACGCCCCCCTTCTGCCATTGGTCAGTCAAACCGATAGTCCGGCCTTCACACTCTCATCATTGGTTGAATCAGCTTCTCACACAAGCAAATCAGTGTTTTAAAAGCAGTTACACATTGTCCCTCTGCATATTAAACTGGAATACAAGAAAGTTTTTATTATTATTTTATTTTTTAGGTATTTAATCATTAAAAGAAATACCACACCACCTTTCAGAAAGTGAAATTTGAAATATGTTGTGTTTACAGCGGCGTTCTGCGTTCTCGTCGGGAACGTTTGCGTCAGATATCAGAGACAAACTCTCAGGAGACTGACAGGACGAAGATGATGATCAAATTAGTGAGAGCGAGACGAGAAGAGCAGCAGTTGTGAATGATGAAAGCCAGGGAGTGTGTGTAGGAGGACGAGAGTGAGTGAAACGGAGAGAGAGAGAGGCGTGTGATTGGCTGTTTGACACCTATCACGCTCTGAAGTGTTTCTCTCGCTCTCCTCCACAGTCATTAGCCTTCGATTAACCCTCCCTCGCTCGTGTGTTCGCCTCGGGTCTGTTCGCGCGCCCTGACGCTCATTTCCACGTCTAAACAGCCGCTTTTACACGGCTGGCGCTCCCGGGAGTCGGCGTTTTGTCTTATTTATTTTCGTAGGAGTTGCACATTTATTTCAGACGTTAGAGTTTGATTGTGTTTTTACTTCAGCGATCATCGAGTGTCAGTCCAGTTAGATCGATAATATTACTGAATGTAACGGTACACAAACATGACGGTTTCGGTCCGGGAGAAAAATAAACACAAAATTGCTTCTTTTAAAGTGTGTTTTTTTATATAACAAATGTGTGTATGTGTTTAGAAAAATGTAATTATATAGAATTTATTAAAGGATAAAAAAATCTTTCTTGGCTAATGCTGTAAACTATATAGGGAGCTCTTATTTAAACATTACTATAAAATTAACAACAGAGCCCAAATCATTAAATTCAGTCGCTATTTATTTTTTGATATAATAAACACTAGGGCTGTCAAACGATTAATCGCATCTAAAATAAAAGTTTGTGTTTACATAATATGTGGGTGCACTGTGTATAATTATTTTACATGCATGTATATAAGAAAAAAATATTTATAAAATATTTATATATAATATTAATTATAATACAGTATATACATGAAAATATTTCTTAAATATATACAAGCATGTATGTGTGTGTGTGTGTGTATATATATATATATATATAATTATAGTGCACCCACATATATTATGTAAACACAAACTTTTATTTTGGATGCGATTAATTTCGACAGCCCTAATAAACACTCTAAAAAATGCATGTTTTCCATTTAACTTGAAGCTAATTTTGTACTCCAATTAATTTTTGAAATATAATCATGTACACAGTGGCTGTCATATCTTGTTTTTATGAGAAATTTATTGAAACATACAATAATGATCAAGACATTACTAACTTACTAGGTTAACCCTTGTGCTGCATTAGATTTTTAACACCGTTGAGTGCATTAAGGACCAAAAATGGCCACATATTAAACATTGCCTAAAATATTATATATTATTATTATTTTCCACTTTTACCAAGATAAATCTTTTAACCAGCATCAGTCCTCATCATAACTACCAAAAATGTATTCAATTTCAGGATTTTAACCCTTTTAATTACCAGTTTTGTTTGCGAAACCATCGATTTGTATAAGAGGAAAAAACACAAAAATTCAATTATTTTCAATAAACTAAATGCAAAGAGAAAACTTTATATTTGGATTATCACAGTCCCACTTTGCAAAAAATCCCACTTAGCGCGTTAGAGACCAAAAATGGCCACCTATTAAACATTGCCTATTGCCTAAAATAAGGTGCATTTCCACCCATAGGGAATAAATATGTAGTGACGTCATCTGGTGGAATACACTATATAATGCAAATATAATGCTTTTGCTTCAAAATGAAAGGATGTTTGTGCAAAAATCATGTTGCATGTATTACTGACAGCCTCAGATTTAAACAACGTTTTAATGGGTTTCAATGGGCCATTTTTGGTCTTTATGGTGCTGAGTGTTACTATTTGATCTACACAGTGTGTGTTATACATATTTTGCAAAATGGGATCACATTTTTTACATGTATCCAAAAAGTCACAATTTTGCCAAATTTCATACCATTTGCATTAAAACAGCCAAAATGGTCAAAGAAATTAAACTGCAAAAGACCAAAAATGTCCCTAATGCAGCATAAGGGTTAAGTAAATATAATGAATATGCTACTATAGTGCATATATGAAATGCTTCTCTCTTTTTAATGGTTAATGTTTTTAATGAGTTTAATGTGATATAGAGGTAAATGTAATGCTATGTAAGATATTATTCTCAAGCTGTTTTATTGATATATTTCAGCAGTGTAAATTAAAGGGTGCACGCACCCTTCTGGATTTTAGCATGGATCGCCTGTGACTAAATCTATTTGTCGTGTGAATACTTTACTTTTACGGATATTTGAGATTAGTGAGATAGTAATAGTGAAGTAATTGTACAAATTGTCAGTATTGCTAAACCTCCATATGTATGTAATCAGAAACCAAATAAATTAAACTTAAACATATCGAGCGATCATCACTTTCTTCTTTTTTACTTTTTACTGTTAGCAAACAGCGCTGCATTACCGTGCGCGCTCTTCTGGATTTTAGTGTATATAAATATAAATATTAGGGCTGTCAAATGATTAATTGCGATTAATCGCATCCAAAATAAAAGTTTGTGTTACATAATATATATAATATAATATATAATATTGATATATATTATAAATTATATTTAAATCTATATACAGTTTATATATGAAAGTATTTCTTAAATACAAGCATGTGTGTGTATTTATATATAAAATAAAATAATTTTATAATATAATAAAACTATTTTTAATTTTATTTATTTTTATTTATAATTTTTTAAAATTATTTTTAAATAATTAAAATTAAAAAAATATTTTTATTTTTTAATTTTATAATATAAAATAATTATACACAGTCCACCCACATATATTATGTAAACACAAACTTTTATTTTGGATGCGATTAATCGTTTGACAGCCCTAATAAATATATATTAATATTTTAGATTAGTGAGATAGTGAAATAATTGTACAAATTGTCAGTATTGCTTCACCTCCATATGTATGTAATCCGAAACCAAATACGCCAGAGACATCATTGTTGTAAAACTTTATAATGAAATTTGGGATTTTTTTATTATTACTGAGAGAAAGTGGCTGGAGAAGATGTGCGACACGTCAAAAATAAAATAAATAAAGCGATATATGACTCGTGGTGACATGAGTGCGGAGGAGTGCTGTGAAATGGGCCGAACGAGAGCAACAGAGACGAGTACAAATATATCCACAAGTGTCAATCATTGGGCAAAGTGGAGAAAATGACCACTATTGGTGAAATTGGAAGAATAGATGCTGGAAAACTTCCTCGATCTCACCGTTATGGGGACACTTTAGTTATAACGGCCCACAGGACCAGAAATTGATGCCATTTGGGACGTGTCCTCAAATTGTGGAAAGCTTTTTAGGCTCATACAGTTTAAAATATGCATGAACACTTATTAAATTCTCACAAAATGAAGGAATCTCGTGTTGCCGCTTGCTATTAATATTACTCAGACTGGCGTGGATGAAATGGAGAAACTGAAGGATTACGGTCCTGATTTATGTATTGGCTGGTTACAGCTCCTCCTAGAGGCAGACAGGTGTGCTGTGAGTTATTTGAGTCTGTTTTGGGACTATTTTAGGACAAGAAAATGTCTTTTATCTGCCCCTTGAATATTCCAGTGCTTCTCTTTGAGTGTGTGTTATTGTGACTCTCTATTATCTGTGTTTCAGGAGTGTGCCGGCGAGCCTCTCTTCATGCTGTATTGTGCTATAAAGCAGCAGATGGAGAAGGGTCCCATCGACGCCATCACCGGAGAGGCCAGATACTCCCTCAGCGAGGACAAACTCATCCGACAGCAGATCGACTACAAAACACTGGTCAGTGGTTCTGAATGCATCAGAAACACAAACTACATCGTGTCATATTAATAATAACATTTAAAGTTCCCCTTACATGCGTTTTTGGATATGATCGTTCATGAAGTGTGTGTTTGTGAACGTAAAAGCTCTGAAAAGTTACAAAGATCAAAGTGATTCTGAACTGAAACGAGTCGTCAGTAATTCCGGTAAGTTACTCTAAAAAAGTAATTAATTACTAGTTACTAATTACCTCTTCAACAGTGTAATTGGATTACTGGACGAATTACTCTCTCTAAAAAGTATTTAATTACTTTTAATTAATAATTAGTTTCAAAATCCCAACCAGCTGAATAATAGAAGGATAGACGTGAATCTGTTTTAATTCTTTCAAATAAATACTATAAAATTGCATGAATTATCCTTAAACTGACCAAGGTGGAGAAGGTTACATTATAAAAACATACTTTTTAACATCAGATACATTTTGATGTTAAACCCACTATTGTTTTATGTCTGATTTCATGACATTTCACACTTTTTTCATACATATTTTACAATAATTCATACGAGTGCGGTCGTACGATTTAGACGCCTCATAATATGCATACGGTTCGCTGTGAGATCGGATTGATCCATACACAGTATTTACCTCAATTACATCAGAAGTAACTGTAATTAAATTACAGATAAATGAAGAGTAATCCCTTACTTTACATTTTCAAGGGAAAAGTAATTAAATTACTTAGTAATTAGTTACACCCAACACTGTTCCAGTCTCACTTCCTGATAAGCCTATGTAGGTTTGCAGCTCATTTGCATAATGCTCTTGATTGGTTGAACAGCATCTCAAGCTCCGCCCTCAGTCACTGTAGTTTGGTTTGTGTTGTTTGTGTCTGTTTGAGATTGATACGGTAAATGTTTCTGTTCATATCACTGTGATCAGGTTATGATAATGAGCGTTTGGCTTCTGACCAATCAGAGCAGAGCAGCTCTCAGAGAGGCGGAGCTTAGAGACACTGAAGCGTTTCAGACACTGTGAGAAAAGTGGAAAATATGAATAAAATAGTGTTTTTTGACCTTTGATGCATGTAAACCTGTTGAAGGAGACTCTAAACAACATTAGGAGCCTTTATAATAGCATAAAAGGGGCACTTCTTCGTTTAACAGTCACACTCGGGAACTTCGGGTCAAAATTGACCCAAAGGGCGGGATTCATATTTAAAAAAGAAAATCATATTTTATTTTATTTTTTTACTTGTTTTTTATAATATTTTTTTCTTTTCTTTTTTGGTGTTTTGAGAAAATTTCAAAAATACAAAAATGTATAATTAGTATTAATGCAATAATTATGACCAAATTTTCCCCATTGAATATAATAGAAAAAAATATTTAAAAAGAAAATATATATATATATATTTTTAAAGCTGTATTTCATTTTGGAGTCAAGCTTAGGCCTCATAAAAGCAATTTTTAAAATAAGATGGATGCCATCTCGTGGACAAACTGAGCTTTTTAGAAATGCAAAACACATGTATAATCTAAATTTTTTGGTGTGTTTGTGTGTGTGTGTGTCTAAATGTGTCTGTTTTGCACTCTTGAAGTTTTATAGATTCACCCCTTCACTGTTGTGTGCTTTTTTTTCAAGATCGTTGCTGATTTGTAGATTGTACATACAAAAAAACTCAGTATTTTCACATTTTTGCCAATTTCCCATTCATTTCCTATGCGGGTCATTTTTGACCCGAAGGTCCTGAGTGTGACTTTTTTTTACGACCACCAATTTGACCACTTTTCAAATCCTGTCCCCAATTTTTTTGGGTGTTCATATACCAAGTACCATTAAAGTCACCAAGTTTCGGACCATTCCGATGAAGCTACGATTTTTAACATTTTTTTATTGACCCGAAGAACCCCAGAGGGTTAAACACTATAGTCGTATTCCGCTGTACATGTGTTTCAGTGTTTGTGTGACGTGTTTAATCCTCTGTTGTGTCTGCAGACGCTGCACTGCATTAACCCAGAGGACGAGAACGGCGTGGAGGTCACCGTTAAATGCCTGAACTGCGACACCATCACACAGGTCAAAGAGAAACTGCTGGACGCCGTGTTTAAAGGCACTCCGTACTCGCAGCGGCCGAAAGTCGGAGACATGGACCTCGGTACGGAAATAATAAGTGCTGGAAAAATCGATCAGGGGTGTGTTTCCCGAAAGCATCGTCAGCCAACTATGGTCATTTCATTATAATTCAACGAGTCGTATTTCCCGAAACCATCGTTACAACGAACATTCGCAAACAGCATCGCAGAGGTGTGTGTGTGAGCGACAGATCTCGAGCTGCGGTCAGGAACAGTTTCTAGTTTGCATGACGTGCACTCAGTAAATCCTGATCTTGAGCAAAATAAGCAAGCGGTCATTCAGTGCAATCTTTTATTTATAATACATAATGTAATTTAGCATTTGTCAAGAGATTTAAAGCATAGTTTTCGAAGAGTGTGTGTGTGTGTGCAAACGAGCATATGATTGAATCTGGAAATAAAGCAAAATATTAGAATTCGTCCTCAGATGCCACGTCAATAATCTATAGCAAAACATCTAGCATTAATTCGATCTCAATTGGATTCACTAAACACTAAACCAACTTTTTTTAGTTAATGATCTGTAAGAATGGATCTTTATTAATTCCAGTCATTGATTCGAGTAACTTTTTTGACATTTGTGTATAAAGTTTTTTATTTCTTCAAAATATGGTGTAAAAACGTCTTAGTGCTGCCCTCTTCAGGTTGAACGGTGGCTACTGCAGTTGAACTTTCCTATTGGATGTTCCGCACTTCGTGACGTACGCAGGTTTCAGCTCACGCCCTTGGCAGTATAAAAACCATCTTGTGTCGTCAAAAAAACACTGTAGGGAGTCAGGAATTGGAATTGTGAGTATTGAAAACGATCACGATAGAGTGTTTTAGCATCTATTTCGTCCCCTCTATCTCCGCTGGGGTCAGCATTTTCAAATATTGCCAGTGGGTGGAGTCAGGCTCTGACCAGGGGTTTAGTTGCCCTTTAAAGAACACCTGCGTGACATCATTAACCAACGTGGTTTAACGACCAATTTGCAACAATACAGTTTCAGGAAACAGGGAGTTCAGGAGTTCGCTGATTTTTGATCTGAATGACGGTGTTGTACGGGAAACACACGTTGACTTTAAACACGCCAGCAAATGACCATGAGTGACCAGCTGGATGTGTAGATTAGCTATATTACATAGCATGATGTTTTGCTCATGTGTGTCTTGCTCTGGTCTGGGATCAGAGTGGCGGCAGGGTCGCATGGCTCGCATCATTCTCCAGGACGAGGACGTCACCACTAAGATCGACAACGACTGGAAGCGTCTCAACACACTGGCACACTATCAGGTAACCGCAGCTGCACATCTTCTGCCCGGTTACTATGGCAACACCTCTACACCCCGCTGCCCAGTAACCACGGCAACCCCTCGGCAGGTTACTTGGTAACAATTGAAGCGTTTTAACACATAGCGCACGATCAGGTAACCATAGCAACACTTCACAAAACACAAGCACAGAAGCAGCGCTGATCAGTGGATATTGATGACGGATCATTGTTCTTGTTATGGCTGATGACGTTCACAAAAAGAGTCTGGGTGTGAGATGCTCGTCTTTACAAATTTTACAAGGTTTACATTCTCATGATGAAAAGTTAGTCGAGACAAACTTGGATGTTGGCTTGAGAAAGCCTGACCAGAAAGTTTAAAGAAGTATTAAAAGCTTGAGATATAAAGGTTTTGAAAGGGATGGATGGATAGATTTTAGCACATTTTGAGCATGAATTAGCATTTTTAGCACGTTGTTAGCATGTCCTAAGCTAGTTGCTAGGCGAGTGCTATATACGTTGTGTATGATGCTGAAATTCGCTATTAGAGCTATTGTATTAAAGTTTTGAAAGAATGAAACATTTTCATATTTACATGTTTTTGTTTAAGTGTTTTACAATATCTAATTGTATTTTTTTTTTAACAAAATTACAGGTTTCAATATAGAGTTTTATGGAGTAGCTTGATGAGATATTGGTGGCAGTCCTGAATGTCTGATGTATCTGTGTCGGTAATAATCAGTGTCAATCTGTCTCTCTCTCTGTTGTCTAGGTAACAGATGGGTCAGCGATCGCATTGGTCCCCAAGCAGAACTCCGCCTACAACATCTCCAACTCCTCGACGTTCACCAAATCCCTCAGCAGATATGGTGAGAGAGCTCTGTTTCTCTCTCTCTCTCTCTCTCTCTCTCTCTCTCTCTCTCTCTCACTGCATCAAATACGGCTCACATTCTATTGCCAGTGTATTTTTAAATTTGAGTCATTTTTAAGTACTTTTTTTTAGTATTTTTTTCTTTTTCACTATCTATTTAGCTTTAGCCTATCTTTTATTTCAGTTTTACTCATTTTAATACTTAAACTTAAACTTATTTATACTGCAGGGCTGTAGAAATGCTTGCCTGGTCCCACCAGACTCTCGTACATTTCATTTGGAGAGTCAGAGAGTCTGGCCTCGCTCCATTGACAAGCGTTAACTTCCTTGTAAGCGGGTCTTCTGTTGATGTTTAAACCAAGCGTGCCGTTCAAGCCCTGAAAAGTGAAGTCAAAGTGCCTCGATCGCCCCCCCGGTGGCCTGTCCTAGTATAGCTCATAAACCCCGCCTCCCCGTGTTAAACCAACTAAAAAATTAAATTACACTTCAAATACGGTATGGTAGTTTTTATCACGCTGATGTAAGTTCAGGTGTTTGTTTTTAAAATAAGTTTGTTTTTAGCGAGTTATTTGATGCGGTGTGATTGACAGCTGTGATTGACAGGTCCTCGGAGCGAAATAGTCACTGAAGCACCAACACACTTTTTTCGGCATCTTCGGAGGACTGAAGAGATTGGAGCTTTAAATTTAATATCTAAATTTCCATAAATAATAATAAATAAAAAAAATGCAGGAGCGTGTGCTTGCGATTGATTCGGCGAGAGTGGGGGCGGGGCCTTGATTTCGCGGCTTTACTTCCTGCGCAGGTCTGGTCCCGGAATCGCTTCTGCGCAGACTCAAGTTCCAAGATGATATATCGGGACACTGTTGGCTTCACTTCTGACCAATGGAAGAGAGCGAAGGGACGTCGTCTGTTTAAAACTATTGGATCTGGCCAGAGTCAATCTGCCATAACCTATCGCTAACGTTTGGTCGTGACGTATGACGACTCAAACTAGCTCAAACTATCAGCCATTCCCTCTGTTCACTGATTAAAAACTGAGCGGAGAAAACCAAAGAATACAGCACAATCCCAGACGTACACTCTTAGAAGAAAAGGTTCTATATAGAACCCTAAAAGGTTCTATACACTCTTAAAAAAAGGGTTCCTCTGGGTTCTATATAGAACCCTGGGGTTCCATACTTGGCCAATAGAACCTTTTACCAAAAAAAAATGGTTCTATATAGAACCCTGGGGTTCCATACTTGGCCAATAGAACCTTTTACCAAAAAAAATGGTTCTATATAGAACCCTGGGGTTCCATACTTGGCCAATAGAACCTTTTACCAAAAAAAATGGTTCTATATAGAACCCTGGGGTTCCATACTTGGCCAATAGAACCTTTTACCAAAAAAAAAATGGTTCTATATAGAACCCTGGGGTTCCATACTTGGCCAATAGAACCTTTTACCAAAAAAAATGGTTCTATGTAGAACCCTGGGGTTCCATACTTGGCCAATAGAACCTTTTACCAAAAAAAATGGTTCTATATAGAACCCTGGGGTTCCATACTTGGCCAATAGAACCTTTTACCAAAAAAAATGGTTCTATATAGAACCCTGGGGTTCCATACTTGGCCAATAGAACCTTTTACCAAAAAAAATGGTTCTATATAGAACCATTTTGGAGTTCCATATATGAAGCGGGGGATGGAACCATTTCTGGTTCTAAATAGAACCATTTCTTCTAAGAGTGCAGTACTGAAAGAAAATGAAAATTGAGTGGGAGTACGTAGGAGGGCGGAGCCAGTCTAGTTGAATGCTTGATTCTGATTGGTTGACGAGCGCTCTAAGACGTGCAGTTATTTTCAGGGAAACGCACGGCTAAAGTAGTTCCAGCAGGTTTGAACCGCATCACAGCTCCAATATCACTCCGCCAAATGATTTCAGTCTTTATCTTTACAGCCAAAGAACCGAAACCCACAGCGACATATAGTAAACAGTAGGATAAAAATAACTAATTATTTCAATGGCCCGTCTTCACTCACTCCTTATTTCAGTTTCTGTAGTTGCCAATGCAATAATCCATTGCTAGTGTAACAAACTGGAAGTAATTAAATTGTTACATTTATATAGTGCTTTTCTGGGCACTTGAAGTAATCCGCTAAAAAAAGCTAATTATGCTTTTTTAACATATGTCTAAAAATAGGTATTATACAGAATTAATAATGTAGTAAGCATTTATTCTGAAATAGCCTCTCTTTATTATGTTTCTCTGCGCAGCGGTGCTGTATTTGTGTGTTTGTGTTTCTGGTCCTCCGTGGGACTAACCCAGCGGTCCAGAGCTTCAGACAGACTCGAATGATGGATATCAAATCCACAATCTGTGTTTGGCAGTGAGGGAGAAAAGAAACCGTTTTTACTCTCTGCCCAGTTTTGATTTATCACTAGGTTTTTATCAATAGACAATATTGTTTTGGACGATGTCACTCGCTCTGTATTTCACTCTTGATTGATCGTTTCTCTCCAGTCTAGTTTCTCTTCAGGCGTACAGTGAAGTCAACTGAGTGTCTCTCTCTTCTCACGTTGTCTGAACAGAGAGCATGCTGAGAACCGCCAGCAGTCCCGACAGCCTTCGCTCGCGGACGCCCATGATCACACCTGACCTGGAGAGCGGGACCAAACTCTGGCACCTGGTGAAGAACCACGACCACATGGACCAGAGGGAGGGCGACCGCGGCAGCAAGATGGTGTCCGAGATCTACCTGACGCGCCTGCTGGCCACCAAGGTGAGGAGAGACACCAGCCGTGTCCAAATTACCCAACTGGAAACCTTCCAGTCTCTCTTGAATCTGACACGGAACATAACATGCAGTTCCTCCACTGGCCACTAGGGGCCGGCTGCAGAAGAGACTCACTCCCATAGACCTGCATGTTAAAATGCCCAACTTTACAGCAGGAAAAAACATGTTTACAGTCTGGTGCGAAAAGTGGTTTTGGTCTATATCGCTAACTTCACCCTTCATGACGACTGTGACGGGGGTGCATTTTTTTATAACTCATCCGTTTAAATGATATTAAGCTTTAAAGTTGTGCATAATTAAGGGCGTGGTCACTTGAGTGACAGGTGGATTGCTGCTGATGTCACTGCTAGCGTTAGCGTCACGTGACCTCTGCTAATCTGCCTCGCTACACATTTTCATTTATCCGGGAGTGACGCGCTTCCAAAATGGCGACGGCCGGCTCCGCCCACTTTGGGCTTCAAAAACGCAATTCAGAAACACAACGGGTGATGTCACGCACACTACGCCCATATTTTTTTACAATCTATGCAAATGATGCACTTATACACTGTGTACTACCACTGTGTAGAGTATGAACTTTTATTTATTTATATACATTTTTAATGCATTTTAATTAAAACAAAACATAATTTACACACAGGAGTACATATAACCATACATGTCAGGGCGAAACGAAAGGGGGGAAAGAATTTTTTAGTCATTTGTAACTTTTTAGTTACTTTCATTTTAGTACTTAAACATTTATTTCAGTTCTAATTTTCATTCGTTAAGTCTTTTTTCTTACATTTTATATTTTATTTCAATTACTGAAAACAGTTTTTTAACAGTTTTAGTTGACTATTGCCACAATGAGAGAAAATCACTCTCATTTACTATATTGTTCTGATGTATTTCTCAAGCAAGAGTGTTTAGTATGTTTAGTACAGTGAAATCTGTCGCTAATATTCTCCGTCTTGACAAACACACACACACACACACACTCAAACTAATTGCCTCACTTTTGGAGCACGTGTCTGATTTTCTTAGCTGAAGTCCTCAGACAGTTAGTGTTGACCTTTGTGTGTGAATGACTAGTTGCTCATTAACATTTACCAGTGCTCCCACTCTCATGGAGAACTGTATCTTAATTAGACCAATGACCTTTGCTTATTGAGCGGTTTGGGAAAAACTGGGTCTTTATCCATCCTGTCTGACAGTACACAGAAATCTCCCACCTCGGACGCGTTTCCCAGCGATCCCAGTTCAAGATCAGGTGCAGCTTTAATCAAGGCACACCTCAACATGTCTGAAGGTCACGGCTTTGGATATATCCAATCAATTAATGATATTTACTGGAAGAAAGATGTACAAACACTCAAATCACTTATAGAACTGATTACAATTCAAATTTGTTTATGTTAATGCTTACAAAAATAGTTTTTCATTAACTATTTGTTAATTTTACATATCTGTGTTTACAAAATGTAAATTTTATGAAATATATTTGTACATTTTTGTCTTTACAAAATTAGTTTTGCAAGATAGAATTTGTTTAGAACTCATGGCTCATAACTGATGCGCTGTAAAAAAATATTGTTGGTTTAATTAAAAAAATTATCATCAGAAACTCAAAATATTATGTTATCTAAACTATATAAAGTATTTAAGTTGATTTGACAATAGAAAAAATGTTGTGTGTTTTTACAGTGTATTATAACCAAAATTATAAGTATGTACTCACCAAAAAGCTGTAGACTTTAAAATCATCAGCTCATCATTTACATTTTGAATCAAATAATTATATTAGTCTTTGCAAAGGTTAATACGTTTACACAGAAGAATTTTACTTTTTCTTGTTTACAAAATGACATTTTAATAATATAGAATTTACCTTTAAATCTGTTTTCAATACCTTCAAATCTATATACAGTATATTAAATCAAATGTTGTTAAAGACACTTTACAAACAAGAAATCACCAAAACACCAGCTGATTAATTAAGAATATTACATTGTTCATGTTTATTTCTTAAAAATGTGAAGTTTGCATTTGAATTTTTTTTTTCATATTTAAAAAAAAATACAAAATAGATTTGTACATGTTTGCAAAATTATAAGTGTGTGCTCACAAAAAAGATCTTTACAATATGTTTACGAAATGACATTTGTACAATATAGAATTTACATATAAATCTGTCTTCAATATTCAAAAATCTATATCAAATGTTATTTACAGTAAAGAAAGATGCACAAACACATCATCGTCAAAACACCAGCAGATTAATTTACATTTTCATTTTCTTTACAGATTTACATTAAATAATTTTACATTTTCATGTTTACAAAATTGTGATTTACAAAAGATTAGTTTTACAAAATAGAATTTGTTTAGAATTTATTGCTGATAACTGAAATTGTCTTTACAAAGATTAACAATTTTAAGTCAAGTCATCCTCAATTATACAGTGCTTTTAACAATGTAGATTATTTTAAAGCAGCTTTACAGAGATAAACATATAATTTAAGGTAACACAGATTGGTTTGGTTTTATAGCAGTTCTTGAATAATGTTATTTTCCAGCTAAAGTCAGTTTTGATTGATTCACTTCCGTCGAAATGATCATTTGTTATTAAACTTGGGTTCGCTAGACGACACCGTTCTCTCCCCACAGACTAACCAAACAAACTACTTGTCTTGTCTATAAATTCTGATACAGTATTTTATTTTACTTTTTCTTGTTTACAAAATTCAATATGGATTTTACATGCAAGTCTTTTTAGATTTAAATGTTATTTAAATTAAAATTTGAATTTTTAACTTTACATTTTTTATTTAATTTTTAAATTTTATTTTAAATTTAAATATATATTTTTTTTAAATTTTAAATGTAATTTGTTTTATTTAAAATTTAAATTTTACATTTTAAATTTACATTTTAAAATTTACGTTTTACATTTTAAATTTAAATGTATTCATTTAAATTCATTTATTCATATTCATTTATTATTATTCAATTATTTACTGTAAAAAAAAGAGATGCACAAACACTCTTTCCAAGAGAAAAAATCCCTAAACCAACATCTGTGTGTGTGTGTGTGTGTGTGTGTGTCACAGGGGACACTGCAGAAGTTTGTAGATGACCTGTTTGAGACCATCTTCAGCACAGCTCACCGGGGCAGCGCTCTTCCTCTGGCCATCAAATACATGTTCGACTTCCTGGACGAGCAGGCCGACAGGCACGTGATCTCAGACCCGGACGTCCGGCACACGTGGAAGAGCAACTGGTGAGTGTGTGTGTGTGTGTGTGTGAGTGAGTGAGTGTGTGTGTGAGTGAGTTCTGGAAAGTGAAAGCTGCTTTACGTCCTCTCGTGTGGTTTCTGCAGTTTGCCGTTGAGGTTCTGGGTGAACGTGATCAAGAACCCTCAGTTTGTGTTCGACATCCACAAGAACAGCATTACGGACGCGTGTCTGTCTGTGGTGGCTCAGACCTTCATGGACTCCTGCTCCACATCCGAGCACAAGCTGGGCAAAGACTCGCCATCCAACAAGCTTCTCTACGCCAAAGACATCCCCAACTACAAGAACTGGGTGGAGAGGTACGGCACGATCCCACACATGCTGGACCGTACACTATATCACAATTACGCTACATGGTGGATATTGCAAGGATTGTGCATTTTTTTGTATTTCTACACTTTTATTAGCATCTTTGATTTGTACTCCAGTAGCCAAAATAGCTGAGTTAGATTTAGTTAGTAATGTTGATCTACATGATTCAGTTCAAATTGTCTGTTTGTGTGAATCATTTAGTTTAGAATCAACTATTTATGGCATAATCTCATTATTTTATATTAAAAATAAAATCGCAAAAACATTTGATGTAAATAGTTCTGTTTATGTTATATTGGTACAATATTATGCCCCCTTTTATTTATATAGTGAAAAACCATTTTTGCGAGTTGAATATCATCAAAACTAATAATATAGAGATATAACTGTATAAAGGTTTGGGGTCGGTTGTGCTCACCATTTCAAAAAATACTGTAAATAACTGGAAAAGTGTGATATTATTACAATATACAGTGCCTTGCGAAAGTATTCGGCCCCCTTGAACTTTTTGACCTTTTGCCACATTTCAGGCTGCAAACATAAAGATATAAAACTGTAATTTTTTTGTGAAGAATCAACAACCGGTGGGACACAATCATGAAGTGGAACGAAATTTATTTGATATTTCAAACTTTTTTAACAAATAAAAAACTGAAAACTTGGGCGAGCAAAATTATTCAGCCCCCTTAAGTTAATACTTTGTAGCGCCACCTTTTGCTGCGATTACAGCTGTAAGTCGCTTGGGGTATGTCTCAATCAGTTTTGCACATCGAGAGACTGAAATTTTTGCCCATTCCTCCTTGCAAAAGAGCTCGAGCTCAGTGAGGTTGGATGGAGAGCGTTTGTGAACAGCAGTTTTCAGTTCTTTCCACAGATTCTCGATTGGATTCAGGTCTGGACTTTGACTCGGCCATTCTAACACCTGGATATGTTTATTTGTAAACCTTTACATTGTAGATTTTGCTTTATGTTTTGGATCATTGTCTTGTTGGAAGACAAATCTCCGTCCCAGTCTCAGGTCTTTTGCAGACTCCATCAGGTTTTCTTCCAGAATGGTCCTGTATTTGGCTCCATCCATCTTCCCATCAATTTTAACCATCTTCCCTGTCCCTGCTGAAGAAAAGCAGGCCCAAACCATGATGCTGACACCACCATGTTTGACAGTGTGGATGGTGTGTTCAGGGTGATGAGCTGTGTTGCTTTTACGCCAAACATAACGTTTTGCATTGTTGCCAAAAAGTTCGAGCACCTTCTTCCACATGTTTGGTGTGTCTCCCAGGTGGCTTGTGGCAAACTTTAAACGGCACTTTTTATGGATCTCTTTAAGAAATGGCTTTCTTCTTGCCACTCTTCCATAAAGGACAGATTTGTGCAGTATACGACCATTGTTGTCCTATGGACAGAGTCTCCCACCTCAGCTGTAGATCTCTGCAGCTCATCCAGAGTGATCATGGGCCTCTTGGCTGCATCTCTGATTAGTCTTCTCCTTGTATGAGCTGAAAGTTTAGAGGGACGGCCAGGTCTTGGTAGATTTGCAGTGGTCTGATACTCCTTCCATTTCAATATTATTGCTTGCACAGTGCTCCTTGGAATGTTTAAAGCTTGGGAAATCTTTCTGTATCCAGATCCAGCTTTAAACTTCTCCACAACAGTATCTCGGACCTGCCTGGTGTGTTCCTTGTTCTTCATGATAGTCTCAGAGGTCCGTTTAAAGCACAGAGAGCATCACAGAGCAGGTGTATTTATACGGAGACTTGATTACACACAGGATTCTATTTATCATCATTAGTCATTTAGGTCAACATTCAGGATCATTCAGAGATCCTCACTGAACTTCTGGAGAGAGTTTGCTGCACTGAAAGTAAAGGGGCTGAATAATTTTGCTCACCCAATTTTTCAGTTTTTTATTTGTTAAAAAAGTTTAAAATATCCAATAAATTTCGTTCCACTTCATGACTTTGTCCCACCTTTTGTTGATTCTTCACAAAAAATTACAGTTTTATATCTTTATGTTTGCAGCCTGAAATGTGGCAAAAGGTCGAAAAGTTCAAGGGGGCCGAATACTTTTGCAAGGCACTGTAAATGTGAATATACAGTAAAGTGTAATTTATTCCTGTGTATTTTCAGCATCAGTCACATGATCCTTCAGACTGTGATACGTTTTATCTTTCAGGATTCTCTAGAATAGAAACAAACGTTTATTTGAAATCTTTTGTAGATTATAAATGTCACTTTTGATCTATTTAATGCATCATCGCTGTATAAAATTATAGATTTTTTTTATATTGTCCATCCCTACTATGTAGACCTGCTATATAGACTAGTGTTCACAATGCAAACCTCCCTAGTTCACCGTTTATTTAAAGGAGTAGTTCACTTTTGAAAAAACTTTTGCTGATAATTTACTCACCCCCATGTCATCCAAGATGTCCATGTCTTTCTTTCTTCAGTCGAAAAGAAATTAAGGTTTTTGATAAAAACATTCCAGGATTTTTCTCCATATAATGGACTTCAATGGGGTCCAAACGGTTCAAGACAGTTTCAGTGCAAACTGTTCAAAGGGCTTTAAATGATTCCAGATGATGAATAAGGGTCTTATCAAGCGAAACGATCGCTCATTTCTAAAACAAATAACGTTTAAGTTTTATAAGCTCAAATGCTCGCCTTGCTCTGTTCTGTGATGCGCGTTCGTGACTCTCCTGTTCAAACTCGTTCATCAAAATGAACGAATCTTTTTTCGAGTCATTTGGTTGATTCAACAAACAAAATGAACAAATTGACTCGAAAAAAGATTTGTTCATTTTGATAAACGGGATCGAACAGGAGAGTCACGGACGCGCATCACAGAACAGAGCAAGGCGAGCATTTGAGCTTATAAAACTTAAACGTTGTTATTTATTTATTAAATGAGCGATCGTTTCGCTTGATAAGACCCTTATTCATCGTCTGGAATCGTTTAAAGCCCTTTGAACAGTTTGCACTGAAACTCTCCATTTGGTCCCCATTGAAGTCCATTATATGGAGAAAAATCCTGGAATGTTTCCATCAAAAACCTTAATTTCTTTTCGACTGAAGAAAGAAAGACATGGACATCTTGGATGACATGGGGGTGAGTAAATTATCAGCAGAAGTTTTTTTTAAAGTGAACTACTCCTTTAAATGAAACTGCTAAACCGTTTCCTCAATAACAGTCGTTTTTAGTGCTAGAAATGCGGATCTTCTAATTGAACATACAGGCAATAAAACGCTCTGAAGTGTAGAATATATAACTTTGATCATTGAAGATTTGATCCGAGATACACAGCAGATGTTTTGCGGTGTTTGATCTGCTAATGTGTGTGTGTGCAGGTATTACTCGGATATCTCGCGGATGCCTGCGATCAGTGATCAGGATATGAGTGCGTATCTGGCTGAACAGTCTCGTCTGCACTTAAGTCAGTTCAACAGCATGAGCGCGCTGCACGAAATCTTCTCCTACATCACCAAATACAAGGACGAGGTGAGTGATAAAACAGCTCACGCCCAGAGCTGGGAAGTAACGAAGTACATTTAGTATTTTTTGGGAAAAAATTTACTTTTAAGAGTAGGTTTAATTGTGGGTACCTTTACTTTAACTCGAGTACATTTCTTATGAAAAAACTGTACTTTTACTTCGTTAAGTTGGGCGACGTTCCTCTCATTACTTTATTTTAATGCAGTATGTTATTAAAAGCGTAGTTTATTCTCAGCGCTCTCTCTCTCTCTTTTTTTCTCGGCATGACCGATGCTCAATTCACAAATGAATCATTCTTTTGAGTCGATTCTGTTCAAAGACTTCATCAAACAAGTTGGACCGGTTCGCGAATCAGTTTGAATGAAATCTCTGAATCGTCTCCAAGTCGTAACGGGGAGATTTAAGAACTTCAAGAGCGTTGTATGAAGTGGCTGTGGACCTACAGTACAGTCTAGAAAGTAAATCTGCAAATGCATCATATTTTTTTGCCCGTAATGAAGTTGAACATCTTCGTACGCTGTCTATGAATGACTTAATCCACACGACGATACATTCAATTTCATTTCATTCTACGTTTTACAACCAAACAGATTATTACGCCATATAGCACTACTACAAAGTATGACAATACACACAATGTGGCGTGCTAACTCGACTTGAAAACGAATGCCTTTGCCTGTGAACCAGTTTAAAGATGCTTTCAGAAATATAGCCTAATACGTTTTGGAGAACAGACAGAAGAAGATCCGTGCGTTTGATCGTTGTTTGTGTTGGGCATGACGTGACTGCGAGCAGAGCACATGTGAAGAGTTTTAACTCTTGTTCCCTTTACACTCGTGCAAAACTCAACTGAGTCTCTTTATTCTGACATTATCTAATAATCCAAATGTAGTGGTATAAGTTACTATAATATTATACAAACCAAAGGACAGGCAATGGTTTTCAGGCTACAGATATAATATACAGATGATATTTGTCTCTGTCTGTTTTTGTTGTTCATTTAAATGAAAAATAACTAAATAATATCATGTAATATACAGAAAATAGGCCAATGTGATCCAAAGTAACTAGTAACTAACTACTTGAGTATTTTTTTCATTGGATACTTTTTTACTCTTACTCGGGTAACTTTAAAGATTATTACTTTTACTTTGAGTAAATATTTCTTTAAGTACTTGGGTGATTCTCATGAAAGCTTGGTTTTTAAAATTTCAAAAAAATGCTTGAATTAACAAAAAAACAAATCAGACATTAGAAACAACGTCTGGAGAATTTGTGAATATCAATTTAAAAACATTTACTTACAATTTAAGATCTTTTTGAGCATAATTTCCAAAACAAGTCCTAAAAAAATCTCATTACCGCAACAGTGTGAAAACACCAAAACTGTTAGAAAATAAAATAAAATTTCACATTTTCAAAAACGGATTATTAACAGTCATGCACGGTTGCTTAGAAATCTGAAATAATATTTATTTTTAAATTAGCATTATTTAAACATTTTTTGTTTAATTTCTCTCATTACCGCAACACCTTCCACAATATATTTTGATGAAACCTGACACATTTTCAAAATGATGTGACAAACCTGAAAGAACATAATGTGAAACTACACATTTTATATTAATTAAATTAAGATTTAACGATCATCTGTTGCGGGTTTTGGAAATGAGGTTGATTATTTCGGTAATGATAATAAGTAACTTGTACTTTTACTTGAGTACAGTTTTTGGATACTCGACCCACCTGCTCACGTCTGTCACGTGTTCACCTGTGTGTGTGTGTTTCCGCTCGTGTAGATCCTGTCAGCGCTGGAGAGAGACGAACAGTCCCGTCGGCAGAGACTGAGGTCGAAACTGGAGCAGGTGATCGACACCATGGCTCTCTCCAGCTGATCAGCTGTGGTGTCGACGTTTGCGTTGTTTTTGGATGATTTGTTGTCGAGTGCGGTGGACGTTTTCACACAACACGGACAAAGACGCTCTTTCCTGTTTTGAAGAGACACCGAGGACGTTTGGGACCTCCAGTGAAGTCACGTGACTGTGTCACGAGCCAATGATCGCGGCGGATCAAAGGACACCGATTGCGTGTTTACGATGTTTTATTAATTTGTACAAATGTTTTCGACTGGCCCTCTCCGCTCTCTTCGCCACTTGTGTTTCTGCTGAATTTGCACAGCGAGCAGCCGCCTCCATCTCTCAAGAACACTCAGTGTCGACGGAGGGGACTTTGACTTTACGCAATGACAAATGGAAGGAAAAGAAAAAAATGACAAAAATATGAATAAAAATCTTGTCTTGTGCCATGTTTTATTTGAATGTTGTTTAATGCTGAAATGGTTTGTGAAGTAGGAATGTGTTCTAATGAAAATAGTGACGACAGAGGAGATGATTCTTCCAAAAAATGTTTTATTTTGACTGAACTGCGAAGCTTTAAGGACTATTTCATCTTGATTTCAGACTCGACTCTTCATACGCGTGCGCTCCGATCCGACAAATCCCTACGTTTACTGAGCCTGAGCTCAAAGAAACGAGTGGAGAGGAGGCCGAGCGAGTGGTTTCAGATCCACGAGTCGGTGAATCGATACTGAGGAAGGAGACGCTCGTTCATCAGAACAGAGAAACGGCCTTTTGTCTTTTAACGAGACGGACCTGATTTGGACTGATCAGTCGCTGTGGATTAAGAGGACATCGAATCATTTGTTTCCTCTTGAACCCGAGATCCATCATGCATGAGCCGATGTTTCAGTGTTTATCGCTTCATAACGCATTAAAGTGGGACGAGCCGGTATGACACGGAGAGAAAGATCCTCAGTATCAGAGCTAGTTTCTCTATTTTTCGACGAGTCTCCTCTGAAGGTTTTTTTGACCTGTTTCTCGTATCATCTTCAACTTGAAGACCCCGTGAGGTCAACATCTATTCGGTTTGAGTGCGTTACGGTATATGATAACGGACTCCTGAAAAATGGCCAAATTAAAGAGGTTTAGCATTTAAATTAGCAGGAAATTAGACTGAAAATATTGGTGATTTTGCCGTTTTTCCTGTCTAAAAGTAATGAGACGAATGTTTTGAGAAGTGTGTCAGCTGCTCTCTCACCACAATATCAGTCTAAAAGTCTTTTCACACCAAGAACGATAACTGTATTGGCATCTACACCAATGGACATAGATAGCATTGTTTATTCCAATCATGCACTTCTGAAATAAAATCTTTAAATAGGCCGGATTTTGATTGGCTGTCAATGTTTTCGTTCATTCAAGTGATTCCAATTATGTGTTTCCTCATCATTCTTGGAGTGAACAAACCTCAACCGGTTTATTTTAACGGTTGTGACTAGATTAGACTGATAGTGATGTCATTATCAGTGACGTCATGCATTTTTCCCGTCTTCATTTTAACCCTGAAGATTAAACTTTGACTTGGTTTGCTTTGACTGACGTGAATCTGTCGTTCAGTGAGCTTGTTCACACACACACTCACGGTTGGTTGTGTTAGGAGTGTAAATGCAGTGTACCTTCTTCTGATCAGTCGGGTTTGACTTCACGTGCTTTAAACGGTTTGTCGTTTCTTGACGGAGAACTGGTTTGCTGATGATCTGGACGTTGCGCTTCTTCCCAGGGACTTTCAATGTTTACACCTGAATGTCAAATCACATGTACAAAAAAAAGAGTCACATTGTGTTTTAATTTATTTATATTTTGATCCTGTGTTTCTTAAATGTCTAAACTGGTGCTTCTCAAGTGTTCTCTGCTCTTCTCTTATGTGTTCCTGTAATGGCTTCTCCACTTCTCATGAATCTGCTCTTTAACTCGAGATCTCCATGAAAACATGCAATAATATTGCAGCACAGAAACTCGAACCTCATCCCTCCTTTGCGTCATTTCTTTCCTGTAATTTCTGAACAGTATTGAAGTATCTTTCCTTCAGACCTGAACACAATGCAGAGATGAAGCGAGATGGATTGTGTTGTTGGTGAAGCTGAAATAATGAATAATTCTGATTCTGTCACTGGTATCTATTCATGTGTAAATATTTGTTTTTTATTTTGCAGATTTACTACTTGTAAATAAACTGGCATCAAGGAGAGATTAAACATGTTTTTGCTAAAACTCCTCTGGTGATTTTTCCTTCTGTCTTTCTGATGGCAAATATGATCAGGGATTTTCAATTGCTTCTGTTGAACCTAAAGTTAAAGAACACAGCATGTAAATGTCCTGTAGTATTCTACGTAGTCAATCCTTCTTTAGTCTCTCCATCAATGACATCATCTGACTCCGGTTTGAACATAAAAGGCTAAAAGTTTTGGGAATTTTCAGTAGGTGTGTGAGCTCTTGTAGCTCCGCCCCCTTTGCGGCATTAGCTCATTTGCATTTAAAGGGACAGACACAAAACGGTGCGTTTTTTTTTTGCTAACCCTCAAAAAGTGACAACTTTAACATGCTATATAAATGTCTGGTATTTTGAGCTAAAACTTCACATACTCTGGGGACATCAAAGACATATTTTACATCTACTAAAAAGGGCATTATACCACCCCTTTAAATTTCCGCTGGTTCTTACATGATCATGGCATGTTGAACTTCAGCCAAACTGTGTAAAATGAGTAAAATACCATATTTGACCTATTGCAAATAAAGCTCACAAGACTACCATTATGATATTTTTCTCTGGCCTGACTGTCCATTATTATTTTTCTTTACTTTCTTTTTCTTTTCTTTTTTTTTACCATATGTATGTTGTTCCTCAAAAGAAAGAAAATCACAGACGTTTATAACGACGTGATGGTAAGTGACTGTACTTATTTTTAGATGAACTATCTGAAAGGCTGCAACGTTCTTTGAGCTGTGATAAAGTTTTGAAATGAACACATAAAGCTTCCTAATTAGCAGACGTTCGGTGTTGTTTTTTCAATGTTTCTACATGTAGATATTAAAACTCCGCTAGCTCTTAGATGAAATTATTTCTGGCCTTGTGTGGGTGTGAGTGTGAAAAGCACATTATAACTAAGCTCTGTTGATTACAGAAGTACATGTTTCTCCAGCGGGACACAGGACACCTCCCGTCCCTCCTCTGCTCAGGTGAGGAGATCTCACAGGTGTGTGTGTGTGTGTGTGTGTGTGTGATGGAAACAGTGATGGGCCAGGTGTCTCTGTGGGGTTCAGTAGCACCTGTTCTCGATCACCTTCAGCCTGAACACAGACATTCAGATCTGGAGCTCTTCCCATAATGTTCTCATTTACTCACGGTTATGTTTTTTTTTTTTTCCTGTTTTCACTTTGGAGTAATCTTTTTTTTTTTTTTTGAACATGACCAATAATATATCTGACACCCACACTTCTGAGAGTGGCGTTTACATGAATATTGTACAGTATGTGCTGCTGCACACTTTCCTTTCACTGACAAAATAAATACAACAAATATGAAAACCGCAGTTCAGAAAGCATTTGATCATAGTCATGTTTATTTATAGTACTTCATAAAATAGATTGCTTTAAATTAGCAGCTTTACAGTATTAAAGCAGCATTATGTTACTTTTGAAATGTTCCCCCTAAACAATATTGTCTTCTACTACTGTCGTAAAATCTGTCATGGTTACACTAGGGAATACACACGTGCATTTGTTGACAAGCGACCCCTGAACTCTGCAGAAGGAGTTCTCACGTCTTGGGCCGACTCCATTGTTGCGTGTGAAATGTCTTCATCCCAGGTACATTATTTATTTTTTTATTTTTTCAACGCCAAAAGATCGCGTAGCTCACGTTTACAAGTCAGCGTCTTTATAGTAGCCTATAGACCCTTTTATAGTTGGTAAACATGGTGACGTTTATTTGTGGGCGGAGCTTAGGCGGAGGCAGAAAGATCACTAACGCTAGTTAGCAAGGATTGTTAGCTTGTTTTTTAACAATGACTGGAGAAAATGACAGTTCTGCCGAGCCAGCGCCGAGACCACGACAATGTAAAGAGTGACATTACAGTGCGATTTTAATGATGTGAATATTTTCTAGAAATAAAAGATACAGCATATTCATTTTTCATCAATTCTTGGACCAAACAACACAACAAGATGACATTTAATAATACTAAAAGTAATTTAAGCTCCTTCCCAGATAGCAAACTGACATTGAATCAACGTGGAAATATGACATCGAAACAACGTTGATCTGACATTGTTTTGCTCATCGAATTAACGTTGAACCAACGTCAGACGCGTCATTCTTTTAAAACTAACGGAAAATCAACTTGAAATCAACGCGTTGTTTCAACGTTATGAAAGCAAACCAATTTTCGATTTTCATTTAGCTTTGAAGAAGGCCGCGTCTGACGTTGGTTCAACGTTAATTCGATGAGCAAAATCAACGTTGTTTCAATGTCATGAGAGACGTTGTTTCCACGTTGATTCAATGTCAGTTTGCTGTCTGGGTTATTATGTAGCCGAATCTGTGCTGGTTTGTATTGGCCGCCTCCAGCTAGCGCAAAAGGGGTCTATTGGCTACCGTTTTACATAATGGATATGCTAATTCAATTAAATGTTTGCGTGGTAGATAATAGCCATATCATCAATATTATAATATCAAGCTACCATAGATGAATCTGCAAAATTGAAAAGTTGATTTGCATTATAGCCTGAGGCAAGACACTTTCACCAGAAAAATAAGACATAGGCTTACTGTTTTATTTAGTTTTTGACGGCCAACATCGGTCGGGCACCCCACCTCCTCCTCTAGCTCATGGGTGACGTATAGGGTTGGGTATCGTTTGAATTTGAACGATTCTCGTTTCTGATTCCGATTCCGAGTTTCGATTCCGGTTCCTAACGATTCTCGATTCCGATTCTTTTAAGAGGCAGGGTCAAAAAAGTTTAGCTAACCTTGCTAACCAACGGTCTTTCTGAAGGAAATAATCCTTTCTGCAGGAAATACTCCTTTTGTAAAAATACTCCTTTTGTCACAAATTTTGCATTTTGCCGAGATTTCGTTATTTTTAGAAAAGTGAAGCCACACTTTGGACCGCCGACGTAAGCTACTCATGTTCGACTCGTGCGGTTATGCCAACACTTCCGGTAGACGCTTCTTCGTTGGTGTTGTTCAGCGGTTTCTTCTTCCGCTCGGCGGACTGTGAATATCGAAACTAGGAATCAAAATTTTAACTTTTGAACGATTCCGGGAAAAACGAAAAGTTAGTCCCGATTCCAATCGATACTCGATTCTCGATACCCAACCCTAGTGACGTATGCCGTAAAACAGCCAAATTTAGTCGTTTTTTTGTGCTCGGTTTCCTACTTGAAACCTGAAGTTACAGAGTGCCAGTAAAAGCGATGCAGACACCGTCAGGCTATTGCAGACCTGTCAATCATCCTATTGTAAGTCGATGTATGTACCTTCACCCAGGGTTTTGTAAAAATATTATAAAGGTTGAAAAAGTTCCATAGTGCTGCTTTAAACAGTTGTTTTTTTTATGTTTCAGTGGCTCTTTCACTATGAAGCTGCTCTCATGTTGTTACTCGCATCTGATCTCTTTACTTTACTTTATATTTTGTGGTCAGACATGTCTGAAATTTTCCTTGCATAGCAATGTATGTTTACAACATCTAACATACATCCTACATCAACATACACTTACACATCACATATTATACCTTCAAAACAGTACAACACATATACATCTAACACCTTCACTTTTGATCTCTGATTGAATGTTTTTGTTCAACGCTAGGATAGCCTGGATCTCGATGGACCGAACGGAAGAAATGAACCGGAAAGATCTCCAGGGCCCGAGACACAGTTTCGCCATCATCGACCCGCAGACTCCCGGTAAGTTCGCTTCGGAGTTTGGCATCAGTTAGGTAAACATGCTTTACATTATTACTAACATTAAAACATCAAAAACAAATTTATTGACTTAAAATTTGATTTGAATGACAAGTCATGATTGGATTTTGAAGTACATTGTGTTGCTTTGCATCCTAAACTTCAGACCTGAATCTGATGTGTGTGCTGAATAGATGAGGGAATCAGTGTGATTTACATGCTCCACACACACCGAGAGCACCACAGGCGGTGTGTGTCCTTTGATTCTTCCGGTGTGTTAATCACAACCGCACGTCTCTGGCTTATGAAGCAGTCAGGCTTGCTACTTAGTGAAAAATACACAGAATATGCTTATTTAATACTTGTTTTTAAAATTATTTTACTGCTAAATGAAATGGATCACAATTCAGTGCTATGAAACATTGCGTATTATGGTGTCAAGTTATCCGCTTGGAAAAATCAATGGCGATTTCACATCTTTAATTGAATTGTGCATGTAAGTGTCTATTTGGTTAAAGCTGTTGTTCTGACGATGTTAATACTTCAGTTAAGGTCATTGGATACTCCATTTCACAACGCATCAAATATTTTCAATGCATGCAGAAAATGTGTATACTGTGCATATTAAGTGTTCCCTTTTAAAAATGGTGACCAACTAATGGAGAATGTAATGTTGAAATACTAACCAACCATTTTGGTTGTCACCATTGCTATAATAAAATTATATTAAAGGTAATGATTAAAGGTGATAATGTCAGAAAGGTCAAAGTCTCAAGGTTCCAAATTTTGTGACAGAGTTGATATTTGGACAGAAATTTATTAATTTGTTAAGGCAGAATGTATACAACTAAATTCAATGGAATTCAATGGCACCCGGTGGATATTTTTGGTACTACGCCTAAACAAAATCCCATGGGAACTTCAATTTTTGTGATATCAACTTCAAATTTGGAACACAACTTGATATGACTTTGATTTTATAGAAATTTTAGAGTAAAATAAATATTTTGTAAAATATATATTTTTTATAAAATAAAAAATATATAGTACAGTAGGTTATATTTGATTTGCTGTAAATTTAAACTTCCATAACTTTTTCATACTTTTATTTTTTGAAGTATTTTCACTTCAGCAATATTCTGCTGAGTGTTTTCTTTAAAACAAGACCAAACTTGGGTATATTCCAAAGCATTATTAAATTACAACCATTTAAGTTTGAATAGTGCATTTTAACCCCCATTCTCAAAAAGGGGGGTGACAGCTAAGGGGTTAATGACAGTTGTCACAAACATGCATAAACCCT